TCTTAGCTATGTTTGGTTGATATCGGTCCAACATTGTAAGAGTATCAGCTCTTTTCCAAAATGATGTAAGGCATTTTGGCGTATGATTACTCGATTAAGTGCTTCACGCGTGCCAGTGTAATCGATAAATGACAATTAATTTGCGTAGGGGTTTTTTTTAAATTTTAATTTATAATGTTATTCACGATCGATATGACAGGTAGCGTTAGCAAGTAAGTTACTATACTTCATGTTTACAGTATTAACAAGATTTGAAAATCAAATTTACCTCCCCCTTTTGTATCTAAACTAATATTCAAAGTGAGCGTTGGTTGAATTCTAATAAATAGAAATGTGATGCACAAATACAGTATTCAAATGTTTAAATTCCTTGCTGGAGTGTTATGTAAATAACAAAATATGTAAATAGCTTATAGCCATGAACCGTTTTGTATGATTATGAACACTGTTCTATGATTAAATCAAAATAATATTTATAGGATTTTCTATGGAAAAGTGGTTTAGTTATGGTTTTTAATGAAAACAATTAGTTACCTACACTCTCTTTACTTGGAAGCGTCCCTGAGTGATTTTTCGTAATGGAATTAATTATATAACATGGAAATTTTCATGCACCGAGGTAAAATGTAGGCTATCTATCTCTATGTATGTATGTATATAATAACTCATTTTAAGAACAGCTCCATCCACTTTAGAATTATCACTAAGGGGTCATTTATTTCTAGAAATGTGTATGTCCCACATCATAACTCTTAAAGTACCCTATTCGTTAAAAAATGAATTATGGAAATCGATCCACAAGTGGCGGAGATATCGTGTAACATGTCTCTCTACGCACAAAAAAAACATACATCCGAATTTAGTAGACTATTCCTTTTTTAAGTCAGTCAGTGATCTTTATAGTAACCAACATCAACACTTCCAACGAACAACATTGTAATTTTTTTAATTGCGAAAATTTGTGTGTGTGTGCGTGCGTGCGTACGTGCATGCATGCGTGCGTGTGTGAGTGTTTTGGTGTTTAGTAACCAGGTAGACTATAACCTCGAGTATCATATACATTTTACACAAAGACACTTAAAATAATAAGTACAAAAAACAGTTACTTTACTCAGTATATGTATATAATCTTCAATCAATTACCTCTATCATCTATGCCATTATAGCTCTAATAGACGTTATTACAAACTATAGCAATTAATATAAACACATAATTATGCTAATTTACAGATATTATACATACTTTGTATTGACTTAGCTAACTAAAAGACTGTTATATATATATATATATATATATATATATACTCGTATTAAGTGGGTATTTCGCTTTTATATATATATATATATATATATATAAAAGCGAAATACCAATAATAATAAGAAATATATATATATATATATATATATATATATATATATATATATATATATATATATATATAATTAATCTGAAGTAGAATATGATCAAATGACATGTATTTTACACATACTTTCTTAGATTTAGGCGGATATATGGTCACTGGTCGGAAACCAAAAATCACAAAAATAAAACAAAATCTGAAAGGATAGTTTTATTTATACTAGCAGAATCTCCGGCTTTGCCCGCGATATAACTTCGAAAAAAAAAGGTTTTTCGCAATACATACTTTTTTATTTGCAAAAATAACTTCTTGTTTCATATTATTTATTAAAGATACCTATATAGAAAACAAATTTTATTTTAGAGATCGTAACTCAAAATATCCATAATTTTAAAACTCTTTTTTTAAATATTAATTATTTATTTAAAACTTTCATCCCCTATTTTACCGTCTTAGGCGTTGAATTTTAGAAACCGCTATTATACGGAACTGAAATACGTTTAATGTTAGATTTTTTAAATATGTTGCTTATTTAGCCCACATTGCACTTTCCTACTTTCCACAGTGCACATTAAAAGCACCAACAAAAATTTTCATAAAACAATTTAGATGAGTTGCAATCTCTTAAAAGATGAAGATTACAATGAGAAAAGTGATTCTAAGTTGAAACCGTTTTCTTACCTATTATAGTCCAAGAGATGGTGTACCATATATTTAACATGTTGCCCTTTATGACATTTTTACGTGATAGATTTACATACTTTGTTTCTCACTTAGCATTGTTTTTTTTTTCTATTTATTTCTCAGAACAAAATAACTACAACCTGCAATTTATATATAAGTCAATTTTAGCTGCAACATGCAAAGTTTAATCTTATTTTTTATACATATTTTTTTATAAATTATATAAAGCAGTAACTTATATAAAAAAATATGTAAATCCTCCTTTTTTTCTCATACTGTTTTAAACAGTGTGAAAAAAAAATATCTGAGAAAATATAATGTAAAAAAAATGAATAAATTATATTTATATAGGTACATGTTTTTGTACAATAATTAATAAAGAGATAAATTAGTTATTCATTCAATGTTTATCTTCATAGTGTAGATTAGGAATAAAAATACTCGCACCAAATCGTCCGCCGGCTCTCAGACTAACAAACGTACTCTATTCCGCTCTTTTGTAATGGCTTTCTATCCTGAATTTCAAAAGTTAGCTCAAGATTCAACAATTTTTCTACATTTGAATGTAACGTCCGCGTTAAATGGTAAAATAAAATTCTTACTAATGTTAAATGTATTTTTTTGCTAGTAATACTTTTATACGGCAAGTGAGAAAGGGATTGGCGTGATTTTTTATATAGACACAGCTTATGGATAGAAGAATCCTATAGATTACTCGTACATAAGTTATATGGCTCTCATACACTAAAGAAACCACATGGTATATGGTTGTATCAATGCACATACATACATATATTGTATGGTTTCTATAATTTTAAAATGACTAGTAAAATAGCAGCGTTATTCTGATCTTTAATCGGCCTGAAAATACAGAGTCGAGTCTAATATTATTATAGGATATAAGATATTTTCTTAACAAATTATAGGACAAAGAATATTTTCTTGAAAAATTATAGGATAAAAGATATTTTCTTAACAAATTATAGGACAAAGGATATTTTTAACAAGATCCAATATAAAATACGTTTAAATTAATTGAACGGCTCTCAAGCAATTACACGGACGCGAGCACGCTTTTAAACAATTAAATCAGTTCGTGCATGGCCCCATACAGAACAGGCCGATATTGAAAGTTGCGGTTCATTGCATTAAAGCGGCGTAAACAGAATATTCCGCGTATTGAAATTCAATCTGAGTTAAATTTAACACGAAAGAAGAGTACATGTTTAATTATTTTTTTTAATGAAAAAGTCTATCTAATTATATATTAATATACTCGTTCATTAACAATTAATTCATGTGTATAAAATAACAGAATATATCCATATGTAGAGCTGTTCATGAAATTCAAAACGTATGGCATAAGCACGCAAAGTTAGAACAAACCTAGTTATACTCTCATCTACAGCAGTCATACCAGCCACATTAAACAACTCGACATTCATCCTTTCCTTTTCGTTCAGTTGCAGAATGCTGTCTATCTTAATATTAGGTATAAACAGGTAAATACTAATATTATAAAGAGGTAAAGTTTGTGAGTTTGTGATGTTGTGGGGGGTAATCTCTGGATCTACTGAACCTATTTAGATGAAATTTGGTAAGAAGATAGTTTGAGACCCTGGGAAGGACATAGGATACTTTTATCGTCATCGTTTGTATTGTCTAATTATTATCATCTATGCTCACAATTTTTCACTTTTCTGAGCTTCACAATTTTTCTAGTGCTCGACTATTCTGCGTTGCAGAATCTCCGCCCCCAAAAAGGGGGTAGAAATCAAAAAATAATAATTACTTGTCAACATGTATCTACCGTTTACAAAGAAAGTTAACAAAATAAATAGAAAAGAAAAATGGAGGGAAGTAGACTTTTCCCTAAAACAGCGATATCTTTCAGACAACCTTGTGGTATAAATGCAATAAATATGTAGGTACAAATGTTTCGTCGAAACGGAAGAAGTGTGAGACAATAATTGTAAACATAATGTATTTAGTATAAATTATATATAACTACTAACTAGCCGAACACGCGGCTTCGCTCGCGCTGAAACTACAAAAAATATCTAAAAAGGTAGTTTCATACAAACTTTCATCCCCTATTTTACCCCCTTATAGAATGAATTTCGAAAAATACTAAAACACGTATTTATTTAATTTTGTTGAAGAGCATCTATATCAACTTTCAAGTAATTCTGATCATAAATATTTTTTGGATTGTATTATAACGTGTTTACCCATGGGAATTAGATAATTTCCCGCGGTAAAAAGTAGCATATGTCACTCTCCAGCCCAACTATCTCCACACAAAAAAATCATGCCAATCCGTCTCTCCGTTTCAACGTAACAGTTACGTAACAAACAAACAAACACACTTTCACATTTATAATATTAAGTATGGATTACATGTACGTACGTACATTCAATGAAAAGACAAATTTATTGTAGTATATAATATAGCTAGCGACTTACCTTCGCTTCGCTCGGGTGCGCCCCTTAACTTGAATTGTTTAGGAACGTAAAAAAAACAAACCTATAAGGAATTTTTTTTCGAGCCAAGAATTTTCGCAAGCGTATACAGAATAAGCCACCAGAGTTTCATCACAATTAGATCATTTTTTTGTTACACATAGAGGACAAACATACGAACATTCATTTTTATTTATATAGAAGATATAAGAGAATATTACTGTATCTACTATATTAAAGATTTCTCGTAATAGCAATTTTGATTATCGTATAAAATATATACATATATTATAAATTAGTGATAAAACACGGTTCTCCATACTTACCAATTTGTACAAGTGTTAATCGAAAGAAGCGACCATATATTACAGCACAAACTTCAAGAGGACTATTACTTAAACACAACATATTCATATAAGATTAGAAATTTTATGAAAATATATGGAAAGTGGGTGGTTTTGTGAATAATTTTTCGATGTAAAAATTAAGCAGATGCTACGACAGTGACGTCACAAGTGGCTCGAGCGTGCAGCGAAGACACGTGCAGTCAGCACAGCCAGCACTCATGCGATCAAAATGGTTTGTATTTATATGAAATATGTATGGATTTGTAATATAACGCTAGCTCTATAAAGTTTAACGTAAAGAAAATATTTCAAAATATTGTTTATTTTTATTTTTTTTATATACATATATTTATGTATTCTTCACGTGGATTTAATAGGAGTAGAAAAACACTGGGTATAAAAGACTAAAAATTATAAAGATATATTAACTCTACATAAAGATAAATTAGAGATTTTTTTTGTCATAGATGAAGTAGAATGAACTTTGAAATAATAACTAATTTAATTTCAGGGTAGTTTAATAATAATTTTTTGTTGTTTTTTTAAACGTATATATATATATATATATATATATATATATATATATATATATATATATATATATATATATATATATAAGATTTCACATTTAATTTGCAATATAGTATGCTACGTCACATAGAGCTAGCGTTAATCCAAAGGATACGTTGATAGACATGTTAGCATGTCGGTATGTTTGTTCATGCGTAGCTATGTAACCTTAGACACTAAGTGTGTGTGTGTGGACCTAACCCTGTAGCTGTATGTGTAATATATACTACACAAAACACACTATCTGTCTATGCATAAACCGCCTTCAATTAAAAAAACACTTATTCCATATATATTGCCATAAGACTTAACAGATTGTATTTTTGTTTATTTGAACGCTCTAATTTCACGAAATGCTAGGTAGATATGAAAAAATATTTTTGAATTTTATAGCGTATTTAATGAGAAAGGCACGTATTAAATAGTAACCAAATTATACATAAATAAATTACACAAGCGGGTTCGGGGTCAAAAGTTAATTAAATGTACTCGTATATAATATATGTATATGGAAATGTAAATGCCGTAATTATTGTAAAATTTCCACTTGTTACTTAGTTACCATCTTGAAACCTCTAATTAAATTTACGAATTTAACTTTATAAGAGAATTGGAAATACAAAAAAAATTATAATATAGAATTAAATACTCTCTTCAGAAACATCAAGTGTGCCACAAGGTTATTGCTAAGGTTCTACATTTTATCTTATTCACGATCGTTGCTGTCTCTTCAATCCATACAAGAGCAACTTTTCGAATCGATTGAAGGAGGTTTTCCACAAAAAAAATATGTAACGTAGCCATTTAAAAAAAAAACATAAATACTTAGTTAAAAAAAAATCATTGTTATTTCAAACATTCTATTACATAAGTCAAATATTGTATACTTACATTACACAATAAATAATTCATCCAAACTGACTTTCATTTACCAACCTACCGAACCTTCTGCATGTATGTATGTATGTATGTATGACAGTTTGTACTACTATATCTATCAAACCGCACGATGTTAACGCTATGTACCTTTTCTTCAACTGTCTTCTAAATGTGCTATAATTAATTTAATTTTTAAAGTAACTATCTATATATTATATCGTATTGAAGTTGTATATGTACATATGTGTTGTCTGTCCGATCGTCACGATTATTTACTCTATACCACTGTAGTTTATCGCCAGATATGTAAAGTAGTTTGGTTAATGTTATTGATATAGTTTAATCTTACACGATACGGGTCGAAAAGACTTTACAAATGGCCTTTTTTTTATAAAATATGACATGTCATTGAAGCTTACGTTAATTTTAATTACCACTAGCGACTCGCCCTCGTTTCGCTCGGGTTATTGTTTAAATTGAAATAACTTTTTTATTTGCGAACCGATTGAAATAAAATAAATGCTAAATGTTAAGTGAAGCTTACTGCCGTACATTAGTGAAAACCGCAGCCAAATTGGTTAAGCCATTTCTGAGATTAGCGCGCTCAAACGCACAGACAAACAGGTAAAATTTTTAAAAATCATTGTTTTTTTATGTTCTATTGCGTTAATAAAGACCCGCCAATATAGTTTTTCTCAAGTATCTTCCATGTACAGATAGCGATCGGTTAAAATGTTATTATATGTACCTATAGATTAATATATGTATGTACTAGCGGCTCATCCTCGCTTCGCTCGGGTTCATCCCTACTTACGTTTATAACGTTTAGTATAGATTTCTCAGAGATGAGATATTTTCCCGCAGTAAAAAGTATCCTATATGTTGACCCGGATCACCAGCTATCACCATACCAAATTTCATCAAAATCCCTCCAGTGGTTTTTCTGTAATGCGGTAACAGACAGAGAGACAAAAATTCTAAAAACTATAGATTCGACCTGTGAATTGATAGTAATGTTTATTTCAATAAGATTTTCCAAAAAATATTTATTATACAGATTCAGCTTAGTTACAATTTTATTATATGTATAGGTAACGTCAATATTATTAACATAAAGTTCTTACTGCAAATATTGCCGATATTTATTTTGCTAATGCGAATGGGACTTTTGGGAGCTTTGCGAGCTTATGTATGTAAATGCAATTTGCCATTGGCTCAATAATTTAGGTTAACTTCCGGTGGCATTTGAATACGTTAATTATTCCTGTTATTGCATTACGAGGCGACAGGTTGTTTTGTAACGACGTTAGGGCGTTAGGTTTAATGTAAATTCAATGGAAATTTGATTATTATTGGTATGGTTTTTGCGGTTTTATAGGTACGTTTTATTTTAATAAATACATCCTCTTTTAATTGTATGAGTGTAAAGTTGATCGATTGGTCGTCTATGGTTTTAATCTAGGTAATTATATTTAATAACGATAGCTTTGATGAAATATGGTATGATGATAGCTGATTATCCGGGTCAACATATAGGATACTTTTTACCGCGGGAAAATATCTCATTTCTGAGAAAAAATACAAAAACTGCAATGTAAGAGTATACTTATATGTAAAACCTAAGAATTTGGTTTTTGGTCATCTGAACGCGGGCGGAGCCGCGGGCAATGCTAGTATGAAATAAAGAAGTTACATTACAATTTTTATTCACAAGTACATACATTTAAAATTTAAATTTGTTTAAAAATATAAAATTATAGTGTAATCAATACTGTTATACTCATGCGTAAATTATATTCATTTTAGCGGCTTGTTGTAGGCGATTATTATTATTTTTAAATGTATGGGAAAGTGCTATTAGAATTATAGGATATATAATGAAGGCAAAGTTAAGATGAAGCTAGAGACACGCAAGGTCATCTAATTAATATGTTTTAGATATTTGTTTCTTTTTTTTTATTTGGCACGAGAAAATGTCACTAGGTGAAGAATTTAATTGAAATGAATTTAAATGCCTTTCGGTGAATAATTCTATTGGTTTATATTATATTTTTTGTATGTATAAATTTTTTTTTCTTGTTTGTTTCTAGATATGGAGTTCGGTAGTGGCGGTCCGCCTCCGCCCGGGATGATGAAAGAGAGACATGGACCACCGCCGCCACATCATCCGGTATAGTTAACATATAAAATCAATCAATAAAAATATACTTTATTCAATTTTATAATTTAAATCGTCAATTGTACATTTTTAAGTTTAAATTAAATGTTAGTGTAGTCGGTCCGTGAGGAAGCTACCACCGGCTGGGAATGCAGTTCTGCTGAGAAGGACCCTCTTTTAAAAAATAATATTCTATTTCCTTACTAAGTAAATATCTAAATAAAGGTTAATGGCAAAGTGTACTTTGGTTTATCCTACTCTCATCTCCGTTGCGCCCAACATAGCGATCATATGGGAGTGATTTTTTAAGTTTAAATTGAAATCGAGTTTAAGTTTATGAGCATCTATGAACATGAAGTGGTTTCCGTAGGATTTTCCGTGTAATGCGATAAAAAGTTGACTTGGTCATGGTCTTTATTGTTTTTCCTAAATTAACTGTTTCTCAGTAACGATCGGCAGCTTGTGTGAGACTCGTTTGTTAAAATGCTTAATATAATATGAGTAATGTTGCCACTGATATAATACTCTAAAGTTTAAAATATAATAAATAGGCTGTGTAATTTTTGTACAAATGACCAGATTTATAACATTGTACAATTTTTAAATCTATGGTATACAGTACAATGCAGTTTATTCAACGGTTTTTTTCCAGCGCGACGGTCGCGGCTACGGGCCAGAGGGATACGGTGAGGGTTTCGTGCCTCCCCCGCCAATGCACCATCCGCCAATGCCGCCACAGAATCAGGTACATGTGAAATAATTTAGCTTTTAATGAAGTATTTTATTTGAAAACTTGGCTATTTAATGTTTATGTTCTACCTACTATGATTTATGGTGCTGAGGCATAGAGGCTCACGCAAAAGGCTGTGCAGAGTCGTAATTGCACAGACAACCATGAAACGTACCATACTTAAGCGTAATACCCGCTTATAGACCATGCTCCTAACTTCCTAATATCAAGATCTTAAGCTGGACATAGGTAAATGATGTTGGGAATCTAATCATGAAATTTAAATGGGTAATTCAGATAGGTATAAAAAACCAAGCATGGAAACACGGTGATAGGTGCAGAAACGTCGGTAGTGCAGTAGCGAAATCGGCTGATGATATAACAAGGGTCGCGGACAGGGCCTGGGTGAGGTTGCACGAGACCGTGAGTGGTAGCTCAACCATTAAGATGCCCAACAGTGGATGAATCAGGCTGCAGATGATGATGATGGCGTATAACACCATGATAGGCCATTATGTATATATATTATAACTTCACTTCGAAAGCTTGAAGCAAGATTAAATGCAGGTCTCGCACATCTGAAAGTTTAATTGTCCATCATGTTCAAAATGATTTGCACTAGCTTGTATGGTAAAATAAAATATCATAACATAACCTGCTTGTCTGAAAGAACCTGAAAAAATTGCTGTTGATTTACTAGACCAAAAGGGAACTATTTGGTTTCGGTCAACTCCCTTCCGAATTTTGAAATGTCCCATGCCCAGCAGTGGGATGTTAAAAAGACTGAGTTTGCCCCCTTATAGGAGAACATGTATTTATTTAATTTTATTTAAGCCCATTAATATCAAGTTTCAAGTAATTCTGATCATAAATATTTTTTTTGGATTGTATTATAACTTGTTTTACCGTGGGAATTTGATAATCTCTCGTGGTAAAAAGTATCCTATGTCCACTCTCCAGCCCTCCAACTATCTCTACACAAAAAACCACGCCAATCCGTCACTCCGTTTCGACGTGTAAAAAGGACAAACAAAGAAACAAACAAACAAACACACTTTCACATTTATAATATTAGTACGGATATTGACTATATTAGATTTTAACTTTTAAACATAGTGTTCTTATTTCTTCCCATTTTGTACAACCATTATCCATGCAATTTCGGTTATCCTTCCCTAGAGATGTTACCTGAAAGAGATCGCTTTTACTGATATCGCCGTCTTCACACCGTGAACTGTATAATGTATATTTGATGTTTTTGATTTTCTTGAGTTATTTTTAGTCCAACAAAGTATTATTACATTTAGTCTAATAAAAGAGAAAGCTTAGAATAAACAAACAATAAACAAAAACAATTAAAGGGTGTCTCCATAGAAACCGCTCATCGTAATCACAATTTGAACTTTAAATAAAACAATCATGTTCACGAGTCTTCTCCGTGACCATGATTGCTGTAAAGCATTCGAAACGTCGGGAACCAAAAATCAAAACAAATCTATGAAAAAATCCGAAGAGATTTATTTAAAATGTCAAATATTCGCGGAAATCTAAGAAAGTATTATGGTACGGAATTATTGGTACGCGATTGCGGCTCGCACTTGACTGATTTTTTAAATATATATTTTTCTAATATTACAGGGTGGTCCACCACAGCAAGGTGCGGTGATGATGGTGTACGGCCTCGACCCCAACACCGTGAACGCGGACAGACTGTTCAACTTGTGCTGTTTGTATGGGAATGTTGTTAGGGTGAGTTAGTTTTTGTTTAATCGCTACGAATTGTATTAGCAGGCTTCTTTATTTTTGATTGATTTTTAAAAAAAGTGGTACTAAAATTGTTTTTTTTTTGTGTATATTTTTTTACTATTTTCGCTAATTGTGAAATGAATTTCGATAATAAAAAAAAAACAATTCCTTAGGTTGACATCTTTTTGAGGTGATTTTGAAGTCGGTATAGCTTTTTAGTAAAAAATTATTATATTAATACAGTTTTTTTTATTGTAATTAATATATAACTCTTAATACAAATGCGAAAGCTTCTGTTACTTGTTCTTTCTGTAAGATTTGAGTGAAATTTGGAATTTAAATACTTTATATACTGGATTAATAACTGGGTTACCCTACGCGAAGTCGTATACATAAGCTAGTTTAAAAATAATCTTAATATATTGCAGATAAAGTTTCTGAAAACAAAAGAGGGCACCGCGATGGTCCAAATGGGCGACAGTGTGTCTGTCGAGCGCTGCGTGCAGAATCTCAACAACGTGACCGTCGGCGACTACACTCTGACGCTTGCGTGAGTAAAGTTGGAAATAAGACTGTATATGTGTTGTTTGTTGTTCACATACGGATCAATAATTAATTTATAATTTGTGACGTGGCCGTTTTCTATCGAAAATCATCATCAAGTCTGCTGAAATATTAATACATATATTTGATGTTACGGATGTTACTAAAACTGTAGATTTTTCCAAAAACGAATAAAGCTAGGGTTTTTATAATAATTGCTCTAAAATTATTTTCAACAACTACCAACCTAATAAAGGCACTAATATCAAAAAAGAAGCCAGTACAGATTTCATACGGAAACCTGGTGAGACCCTTTAGTATATTATTTATTGTATGTTTTTCTTCATTTGATTTTAAGTCAGGAGAATGCTCTCAGTTTAGGTAAGTGTATGTATTTTGCTGGGCTAATTGTGATGCTGTTTTTAAAATTCTCTTTGTTAAATAGGCTTCGAGGAATACATTTTTACAAGTGTTAGAACAAAAACCAGTTTATAGAGTAACTATTTTAAATGACATAAAAAGTACTCAAAAACTCAGTTGGACCGCCAAGTATAATATAATATGTGAAAGTTGGTATGTGTGTGCAATGTGCATGTTTGTTACTAAATTTCGTTAAAACTTCTGGACGGATTTGGATGACGTTTTAGTTCACAGATAAACTACTATCTGGAGTAATACATAGGCTACTATATATTCACCCAAGCGAAGCGAGGTTAAGTAGCTAGTGTATAGATAATTAATTTATATGCAGTTTTTTTTAACGTCCCACTGCTGGGCATAGGCCTCTCTTCAATACAAAGGGAATCAAGCCATAGTCCACCACGCCAAGTGCGAGTTGACGTCCCATATATACTAATATTACGAAGAGGCAGAGTTTGTTTGTTTGTTTGAACGCGTTTATCTCAGAAACTACTAATCCGATTTGAAAAATTCTTTCTGCATTAGATAGCCCGTTTATTAAGGAAGGCTGTATGATATATGTCATATAATATAGACTGTCTATTCCATAGTAATTGTTAAAACTTACCTTAGGGGCGAAACCGAGCGAAGCGAGTGTGAGTCGCTAGTTGATAATAAAATTGTTATATTTGATTCTTTTTTCATTCTAGTTTCTCAAAACAAGCGTACCTCTCCGAGGTGATGAACCCGTACCCTCTGCCCGACAAGAGCCCCTCCTTCAAGGACTACGTCGGCAATAAAAACAATCGGTTCCTCACACCCGCCTCCATACATAAGAATAGGATACAACCTCCGTCCAAGGTGAGATTGTGGATAGATAGATACTTTATTGCACACACAAAAGAAAAGTGTAGAACCATCTTTTCGGAGTCTTACGACTATGTTATCTTAATACGAACTAAATTAAAAATTAAAAAAACCCAACATGTAATTCACCATTTTGTGGTGGCGGCCATCTTGAATTTATCATAGTGTATAGTATTCTACTAGTCAAGCCCTTTCATTTGATACCCATATTGAGGGAGTTGTGAAAAAATATGTAATTCGCCATTTTGTGGCGGCTATCTTGGACCGATTTTCATCAAACATAGTAAGGACGTTTAAGACTAATTCACCTTTCAAACAAAATCAAACTCGGTCCATCCGTTCGGGAACTACGATGCCACACACAGACAAGTCAAACTTATAACACCCGTCGTTTTTGCGTCGGGGGTTAAAAAAATATTAATACTATATTTACATAGCTTTACTATTGTTTAAAGAGGTAAAGTTTGTTAGTAAGTTTGTATGTAGAGAATAATTTCTGAAACTATTGATCCGATGACTGATACTGAAAATTCTTTCTCTAATACGAAGCTATATTACAGCCGAGTGCTGTAGGCTAATTTTTTTTACAATAAAAATGTGTTTACTGTCAGAACTCACGATAACTTTAATTGAAGTCACGGAAAACTGTTGTATCTAATCTATCGGCGTGTGATTCGCGTACCGCTGCCTAAATTGTTTGAAATAAAGCAATTTATTGGAAGGGAAAAGAAGCACTTAAGGACAATTTTAAGCAATATGACGGACAACGAAGTGATCCTATAAGTGTTCCTTTTTTCCACTTGAGTTACGGAACCCTAAAATTAAAAAAATATGTCCCCGTCTCCAGGTGCTGCACTTCTTCAACACGCCGCCCGACGTGACAGACGAGCAGCTGCTCCAGGTGTTCCAGGACTACGGCGTGACGCCGCCGCACACTATATCCAAGTTCCCGCTGAAGAGTGAAAGGTTAGAGTTTTTTTTAAAGTAATTTTGATTCTTGACGACACGTTTGGTTCAGTTTGTGGCGACCCTACTCACTGTGCCAGCGGTCGCGGGGTCGGGACTGGGGGCATTCATTTGTGTGATGAGCACGAATGTTTATACTCCAGTCGTGGGTGTTTATGTTTATAATATGTATGTGTTTAAAATTATATATGTGTAGTGTATCAACTATCTGGTATCCATAGCACATGCCTCGTAGCGTACCATGGAACTAGATGGTGCTGTGTCTTAATGTCCCAACATTTTTATCATACAGTAGTAGATGGCCTTTGATATTAAAGAAAACCCTTGAAATACAAGGTTTGTCAAAAATATTATAAAGCTGTAGTGCTATCTCATATCAAGTTACAGTTACACCCTACAACCCTAAAGGCGTTTTCCGACTGTCAAATAAAAGTATGTACGTACTGTTATATCTCTTTTCACAATGCAATGACAGCTTATTAAGTATCTATTTAATCCACAGTATTTTTCCTTCATATTAAACCTTGGTCATATATTCATTATAATTTCATTTTTTATTAGTTAGTTAGGCTCAGAGTCCCGATTAGATCGATTCCGCGACGCGTTCAATTTCGGAAGTCAAAATATTTAACAATTTGTGTGTGAATTATTTTTTAATAAGCCTTTGGGTTTGTTTTGTAGTTTTTTTTTAATGAATAACGGGGTCGATCTCATAACAGTACGTACGTGCCTTATATCTCACCGGTCGTGTCGAGTGGCCGTCCCACCGGAGTATGAGAGTGATAGGAATAGAGAGTGCACTTGTGTCTGCGCGTACACTTGAGCACTATAATATCTCCTGCGCAGTTGACTAGTCTCAGTGAGATTGGCCGCCGTGGCCGGAACCGGTCGGGAGGACGTTATATTAGGTTTTAGTATATCAGTGGTTATTCTAAATAACATATTCACATGTATTGCAGATCGTCTTCGGGCCTGATGGAGTTCCAGAACATTTCACAGTCAGTGATGGCAATCATGGCGTGCAATCACGCTACCATACAGCATCCAGGTAAATAGCTAATTATGATTTGTTTGTCTGTCTGTCCGTTAGTACGCTTTTAGTTTTGATTTATACTAAATTTTATTCGAACATTCTTACTAGTTTTTAATTACTTATATACAAAAGATACAGCAAACATTTCACATTTTGTGTTTAGCCCTCTTAAACGTCCCAGTGCTGGGGGTGGGCCTCTCTTCAATACGAGTGGGATCAGACCAAAGCCCACGATGGCCAAGTGAGGGTTGGTGGATTTCACATGGCTTTCGAAAACTTGCTAGGTTCTCTAACATATGCAGTTTTCCTCACGATGTTTTCCTTCACTGTGAGACAATAATTATGTTTGAAATGATTTGCACATGAGAATATTAGAGTTGCGACACTCGGAATTGGAACCCGTTTCACTCGGTTCCCCAAGCAAGTTTCATATAATCAACCCGTATAATTCATTTCAACATTTTCAGGCGCGAAATTCCCGTTCGTGATGAAACTTTGCTTCTCATCGTCGCGGCAAATCGGTCAAGGGAAGGGCCAGGCCAAGAACCAAAGCCAAGACGCGCCGAGACATGACAACGGAGAGCAGGACTACTAGTAAGATGTCGTGTTGTATGTATGTTTGTATGTATGTATGTATGTGTATAGGATTGTATTTGGTACCTTTGGAATTTGGGGGATTTGGTCCGTTGTGATTTTGTCGTACCTTTTCTCATGGTTTTTTAACTTGACTTTGTCTTTGCATATGATTGCTATGAGGGATATTTGTTAAGTTATTTTTTTCCAATAGGTTTTATTTTTTGTTATATTGTTATCAAAAATATATAGTAATCGTGGAACCGTAAAGTACTGTTTATTCTAAATGAGTATATTATTATATATATTACAAATGGTACCACAATCTCATAACGTCACAAATTCACCATTTGCTATGGAATATAACGCAAAGTGTTGAAAAAGACATGTAAAATAGGGATCGGACCAATTATATGAGTCGGAATGTTGAATAAGCCAAATGTTACCAGGTTTGATAAATAATGTTTTTTTTTTTAATAAATTGTATGCACAAATAGCTATAATGTTGTCGTATATAACAGATGCCGGCCTAAATTGTTTAAAAAATGCAATTTTTATTTCCAAATTTGATGGTTAAATAGTTTTTGGACAGATTTGTCGGTATGGTTCTAATGTTGCCGTAAATGTTATTCCATATATTTTAAACTTACAGTAGGGACCATAGGGCATAAATTATGTTTGCTTGACAAAATTTACATATTTTCTATTCAGAAATTATATAATACCTGTATGTATGTATATAAATAAAAGATTAAAAAAAACCTTTTTTTCAGCTACAATTATTGTAAATAAATTTTTATTTTCATTTGACATTTTGACAGGCAAACATAAATGGCGTCTTTTCTATATACCCTCTTCATTGTTTTAAACGGATTATATATTCTTATATAAAATGTACACTTTCCGAAATTATGTAATTTATAAATACATTTTTGACTGTTTGACACTTGAGCATTTGACGTATTTCAATTTTGTTTTTTTTTTTTGTTGTTGTTTTTCTTTAATTATTAAACTCTTTCTTATTAAGCCAAATATTAGCCAAAGTGTTGAAATTGTTAGAAACTTTTTAAACGTTTTAAATATAGATAAATGTACATAATTTTATAAAAGTTGTTTTTCCTTTCGATATTTGATACTGTACAGCCCATATAGATAATATATACGGAAAATAAATAAACAATCAGTACCTGACATTGAAATCATACAAAACATAAATATTTTACTTTAAATAAAATGACAGTTATGTATTGAAATATTATAAATAATTTAAAATTTGCCTAATTTAAAACATACATATTTTTACTCCTTTAAACTACTTCCTATGTATATTATCTGTGTGGTACAATCAAATACTCAAGTTAAAGTGAAGATATATTATTATATGTTATTTTATCGTAATATAAGTGAGCACTAACTCAGTCTCAATAGTTGACGGTTAGGTTTTAAGAGATGCCTATTGTCTATGCCTCGTTAAGTTTCAAATCATTGATTTTACTGCAGTAGATTATAATAAATTACAATATTAAATGTTTCTACCATATATAGTTTTTGAACAATTGGAAAATTTCAAGATATCCTGAAACGCTTTTTAATAAAGTACTCGTATGAAAAGAACTACATATCTAACACCGTAAGAATGATGGCTGAGAGATCAATTTTCGAGATATTATTGAAAATGTAGATAAATAATGTATTGTATAGTCGTGCACTATTGTCGTATATTTTGTGAGGGTTCGGAATGCTTTCTAGGCTTAATCGATTTAGATTTGTACTTAAAATGCTAAAATATTTTGTAGTTATAATAGAATAGACATGTCGTGCTCGACTGTACATTGCTTTTGAAACGTCAATTTGTAAACGATCGCTTGGAATATTACAGTGGCTGGTTGTTTTATTTTATTATTATTAAATAAAATGTATTAAATGGCGTCTCTTTTTTTTCTAGTAATATTTCAAGTGATCTAAAACCGCTCTAATTGTTCAATTGTGTGTTGTGTACAAAGCTTGTAAGACATCTACATATCAAAATGACAAATAAATATTGTTAGTGTATATCGGGGAGTTACATGTCTTTTACACGGAAACCAAGTCAATTTCTCGCTAGTCTTTATTTTTAATATGTTCCGTTTTTCTTTTTTTCTTGTTGATGTGAAACATCTGATGCGGCGGGATAAAAATCTCCACAAGCTCTTAACTCTCAGTCTCTTTTCCCACTCAGCTCGGCGATTACCTCCCTCCCACCCCCTAATTTTGGTATTAAAATAAGATGTATTTTTAAATAAAGTTTTTTTTCTTTTAAAAAATCTGAATATTTTGTTTTTAAATATGTCATATTTACTGCCTCTAAAACCATCCTGTCATGCATATTTTCTATACAAAATAGTATCGATGTTTCACATCTGCCAGGCGTCCCGCTACGGCTTTAATTTTGATGTGTTTTTTATTTTTTTTAGTTTTTTTTTTCTTAATACTCACTGTTCAATTTTCAAACATTAACCTTAGATTCGCGTTATAGACGAAAATTAGTGTTTGGATTTTTTTTACATATTTATTTAATTTTTTTGTTAGGTCAAATAACTTACTAAATCGATTGTATTCGATTCTTATTAAATAAAAACGAAACTAAATTGAAAAGCACAAATTTTTTACATGGCAACATTATAATTTGAAAATGTCAAAGTCAAAATGACACTTTCGTCTATGACGCACAATCTCAAAACAAACGAACTCACATTCAAATATTTGCTTCTAGCTAACGGCGATGGCGGCGAACACACAAACACACATATCAAGACGGACGGCACACAAACACACTACTGGCACACCACTCAGGAATCTTACGGGGATATTGCCATTGTAATACAAATTACACATAATAATCAGATATTAAACACGTTCTAGTATTATATAATGTAGAAAAAAAGATTGAAATTGACCGTCGAGAGTCATGATTTTTGTTCGTCAGATTAGAGCTTATGTAATACTCGAACGCTATAAAAAAAATTTCGCAATGGCAACATTTTATAATTCCTTAATTATAATTTTTGTGATTTAATTCACTCATAAAGACATTAACAGATAGTTAATTTTTAGACACAGAGTTTTCAAGTAACACGACATTTCCATTTATTTTCTTTTCGTTTTTTATTTTTTCGTTATTAATATTTTTTGCTGGGGCAGCCCCATTGAATGCGGACGCATTTTTATTATCGACTTAGGTTTTCTAAGCATTATTCCCATTTATTAATTAATTAGTTTTAGTTTCTTATTTGTACAGTGTCATTGTCAAGTATTGGTGTAAATTTTTCTTACACTCTCGACTGTTGTGGGTTTTAATTTTGGATTTTGAGAATGGCACTACCACTTGTATGAATTTGTGTACGCAATTAACAAGATGTAGATTATTGTTTCGGTTTAATTCAATTTTTGCGTATATATTATTAGAATTTGGTTGTACGAAAACTTGACAGTTGTGAATTGTACAAGAAATAAAAAAACTGTGGATAAGGTAGATGTTTCGAGTTTTATTTTTTTCTTTCTTTCTTTCTTATTAGATTTATGCTTGGAGTGTGCACGTTTCTTACTTGCATGAGTTTCGTGGAGTTAAGTGTGTACTTTTTTTTTGTTTAAAATTCATTTTTAAGAACCAAAATGTGTAATTATAAGTAATAGATTAGCACTTTCTAGGCTAGTAGTAAGTGTCATTGCGATGTCAATTATATTCGACTAGAGGAAAAAATTATGACCGTAACAGATTTTCTATAAATTTTTCTTAAAAATTATAAAAAATGTGACGAATGATAACGTTAAGAATAGCCTGCACATCAACAACGTTCAATGTTTGCAGATTCTCGTTTTATATGCAACTGTTCGAGAATAACTTTGGATTTATCGTTACGAGTGGAATTTCCTGCAAACTTTGAACCACTGGTTACTAGAATTAGGTTAATGGAAACCATGAGGAACCATGTTCACGCTGTTTTTTTTTTGTTCTTTCTAGATTAGATTTATTGGTATGATGTGAATTGTGGTAGCATGTCTATATAGCTGTTTATGATATGCTCTCTCATACTATCAATTGGTAAATTTTTTCTAACATCTGAGTTATTTAGAATGTGATTTTTCCCCCATAGCGTAAACAGTGTTATAGTCAGTGCAAATAAAAAATAATAATAGCCCCTTAAATAGCTGAATAAACGATTTTTATCAGGTAAATAGATGCATATCTTTTTCTCTAGAAATATTTTCAAATAAATAAATGTTTTAGCGTTAGGACATTGGTGTCGTGATAGCTTACTATTTGTGTTGGATGTATATAAGGGAAGAAAATCGATTTGTTTTAAAATTATTAATTTTATATATATATAAGTGCTATAAATATTGTATGAAAAATAAATATGCTATACTGTTTGTTACATTGTAAAAATTTACTCGAAATAAAGAAGAATGTTAGGAAAATTTTACAGTGTTACACAAGAAACTGGGAAACTACGCTCAATCTGTAAACAACACTCACACGAAACCATGTCTGAGAAACCGAAAACAGAAAGCACTCTAGCATTTTACATACTTTAAGATAATGTAATGGTTAATTTTAGTTTGTTTATTGCATTGGTATTAGGTATAGTACATAGTGAACATTAAATACATGTCAACACAAGCCCTCTTTCATTTCTACACTACCAATTAGCACATTCCCGCAAACACAAGTGTTCGAAACCATAAACTCCATACAAAAACTAAAAAACAACAGATATCTTCAACGAACTCAAATTTTATACTTACTTTTTCATAGAGAATTAATAAAAGCGATATAAATTTCATATTTCTTGTACTCACTATATGATAAAACTGATATTTATTTTCACTTGTAGGGTTCTATAAACACTTAAAACTTAAGTTTCCTTCATGGTCGACAATAATGTGACGTATTTATATATTCAAAATTTCAATTACATTAGCAACACTAGTTCATTATTACGACGTGCCATTATTATATTTGCTCAAATATATATTTACAAAGTAATATAAAAAGTTGTTATATGTCACAAAGAAATTTTAGCCGTAAAGTTCTTTTCGCACCAAAGTTCATGTATAAAGTATGAATAAAAGGATAAAGTGAGTTGAAAATGTAAATAGTAAATTATTGCTTTATAAACTATTTTCGTTGATTGTAAAGTTTATGTAAATTATATATAATGTTAGGACGCTGCACGTAAGTCGCGAAAAATGTAAATTGTATAGAAATAAAAACTGTTTTTGATTGATCTGTAGTTTTTTTAATGAAAACTGAAAAGTAAACTTGACAAAAAGATTGAAATTCTCGCCCACAATAAACTATGATTAAATAACGATGAACAGGCACAACTGATATCGTTTGAAATTGCTGCCATTAACTTTCCCGCTCTTTTTAATAACCATAGACAATTTATACAACGTGTTATGATGATACGTACATCGCTGATTTTTTTATTCTCTCGCTCTCTCTCTCTCTCTCTTACATTGTTATATAATATTAAACAGCACATATAGTAAAGCAAGTTCGAAATATATTTTTTTCATGGAACTTTAAATGTGACTTCAATAATGGTACTATAAAATGAAATTTTTTTAACTAGACATTTAAAATACAAACGGACAAGAAATCTGCAGTTGATTTAATAATTATGAAAAGCACGCTGCCTCAACGATTGACCAAGATTTTTCACACGGTATGTATTACAAAGTATATAACTAAGGTATCGTTATAATGACACAAGTTTTTATTCGACAGAAGTATAATACCTAAATAAATAATACCTATCTAATATGTTAATCTAAAAATAATTAACTAAGCCTTTTATGCAAAGTCATTCCGTCATTTGGCGCGATTAATTAACAATTTCAAAAAATTTGACAAGCTTTCACGTAATATTATCAAACAAGCTACTTACTCTAGCTTCACTTTGTTGGTTAAAAAAATATTTTTGGTGTTGTTTGCTTCAGTTAGTGCCAAACAGTTGCCAAATTACTCCAGGTCTTAGTCTCTGTTTATAAACTAAATTTCATCCTAATCCGTATGTATTCCGTTGGACGGACTGCTTGCCATCACTGTTCGCTTGAGTAAAAAAATATGAAGAATGAATACGTATGCTAAAGTGAATAAAACTTAGGTAAAACAACATTGAATCTAGGTTATTTCTAATTAAGCCGTTGCCTCGTTAAAGCCAATATCCATACCGAAGTAAACAATAAATATCGGAATGACAAACTAAAATGTCTAAGACGGCTGATCATTTCATCGTTGTTGAATGGTTTAAACGAATTTTGCGGAGACATGCTGCCAAATGTATAAGACACTATACGAATATATACGAATTTTATATTCCATAATTATACAATATCTTAAATTGGTAAAATTAATAGGTATCAAATATGAGTAATCAAATTAACAGACTTTAAGATTAATTGACTTAGACTTCACTAGATTCTTTTTTTAGAACAAAAAGGAATAAATTATACATGAAATACAATATTTTGATTGGTTAAAAAAATATTTTTTAAGAAATACATGTGTAAATAAATGCACTTTCTTATTTATGATAGAATTAATTAATTAATATATTTAATTATTGAACCCCACGTGTAATAGCCACATTATGTAACCATAGAGAATTTGCATTCATAGAGCGGAAACATCTAGCGCACCATGCGGTACAAAATGGAACTATTTAAAACGTAATGGTGGCTGCTTGTGTTAAATCATTGCTGACAACTTATTTAGAAAATAGTTACTGAAAACCTTCAGAAACTAATAATATCCAATGAAAACTTGAAATATCCATCAGGTATTTAAATTTATAACGTTGAGTATGTTATTTTGTTTCATCTCTTTCCATGTTTTATATATTATTGTCAAAATGGCTGACGGTCGACAAAAATTAAATATTATTTTTTACTGAATAAGCATCGACATTATGTTGATAATGGTGGCAATAGATTTAAAATTAGAGTAACTGATAAGAACGTAAACAAATTAGAAGCAATGATAACAGACCGAAAGGTTTAATTTATATTAATGTATTATATTACATATTACTTATCTGGATGAATTATATCTATTTAGTTAAAATGATTTCTTTTATCAATACTTATGTGATGTATATTTATATACTAAGACTTTTACAAAAATTAAGTATATATTGTTTAACAAATAAACATTAATAGTAAATTTTAAATAAAACAATAATTAATAAGTTTTTTTAAGTACCTCTAAATAAGTGGTAATAATGTGTGGCTCAAATATTTTTATTGGTTTGGACAATTTTTTTCAATTTATTATGATTTTAATGTTCCAGAATGAACAATTGCTGTTTCATTTGCAACACTCGGAATGGGGTGTCTATAAGAAATGCTAGTAATATATTTGGAGAGGATGTAAGTCAATGTTATTGTGTAAAACTGTAATATTATATACTTTAATTATATTATATTTTATCTCATTAATTGTTATAAATGCAAAAGTTTGGATGGATGGATGTTTGTTATTTAATCACACCATAACATATGTGAAATTTGGCACAGAGATAGGTAGATTATAGTTTGGAATAGCGCATAGGTTACTTTTATCCTGGAAAAACGGTACCTGTGGGTTAGATTTATTTTTGTTTTTCAATAGGGACAAACCTTAGAGAAGGGAGGATGAGTTGATAGTAATTTATATGATAATGAAATACTTGTGTATGTATTCAGCCCTTTTTAACGGCCCACTGCTGGGCACGAGCCTCCCTTCAATACGAGGGGGATCAGGCCATAGTCCACCACGCTGGCCAAGTGCGGGTTGGCGGACTTCACATGTCTTTCGAAAACTTGCTAAGTTCTCTAAGACATGCAGGTTTCCTCACGTTGTTTTCCTTCACCGTTAAGGCAAGTGGTAATCATGTTGGAAATGATTCGCACATGAAAATATCAGAAGTGCGAGACCCGGGATTTGAACTCGCTTCACTCGGTTACCAAACGAGTGCGTTACCACTGGGCTACCACTGCCTTTAATGAAATACTTATTTTTTCATAATTGTGTGCTTGTAACTTAGGTAATTAAAAAAAAAGTACCAAAATTTTCTTTAGTACAGATTAAAACTTATTAATGTAGATTTTTAATTTTTTTCCAGGTGTCTCTTACTTCAGGCAAAAAGCTTCCGGATGTGATAGGTGACATAGTTGAGAAACAAATCAAACAAGATAACATCCATGCAAATATAATCTGCAAAAAATGTCAGAAAGCAGTGGTGGAATACGACTCTTTACAAGTCAGGTGGGTGTGAATTTATTTAATCCAAGTATAACAGTGAAGGTATCTATACTAATATTATAAATGTGAAAGTGTGTTTATTTGTTTGTCCTTCTTCATCTCACTACCTCAGGAAAACATGTTATAATACAACTCACAACAACTCATCATACCTATGTATATATATAATAAATATATATATATATATATAATACATATATAGTCTATCTATTCCATTTTTATCGTTAAAACATTCCTAGGGACAAACTTGAGAGAAGCGAGGATGAGTCGCTAATAGTCTTTAAAGATTAAATCTTATCTTTAAGTGATGTATGCTAGCTAAGAATGGTAATATGATGTAATATAGCCTATGTGTTTCTCTATTAAGGGCCGCTCCACACTAGTGCCGATGACAGTCCACTCTCGGTCTGATATAGGTCTGGTAAAGTATTGTTATACTACAAGCAATGAGTGTATTCACACTATCAGTAAGATTCACTTTCCAGTCGAATCACGCTCCAGCAACTTTTCTTCTATAGAAATATTTTACCAGACCGATATTGGACTGAAAACAGACTATGATTGGCACTATAGTGTAGAGCAACCTTAATAGGTTGAATGCAAAACAATTTTTCAAATTTATCTGAATTGGTAGTTCCAGACGTTAGTATGTCAAAAGATTTTTTTTAATCTAAAATATAAATGTAGATTACTCGTGAAAACTATACTTAAATAAAATAAAAAATATATTACTAACACTCTTTTAAATATTATTTTCAGATTAAAAGCGATAAAGGCAGAGCTTCTAGATCAGTTCAAAAAAAGCTTACCAAAGCACAATATAAGCTACGATACATACAATGTGGAAATACCAAAATCTATCCCACTAACTAAAAAGGTGGAAATGAAGAAATTAGTGTTGCCAGCGTCCAAATTACAACCTTTGCCGCCCGATTTTGTTATAAAAGGTGGCAAATGGCCAATATCTAGGCCCAGTGTTACTATACCAAAGTTAAAGGTAATATAAAGTTATATTTGATATTATTATGTAATTTTACGATGGTTTTAATAAGTTCTCCCATTAATAAGATGAAATTAAAGTTTTTTCTTTTAATTTTGCTAAATTAAAAATGATGAAACTACCGAACTGAATATAGTTAAGACTGAAACCAATATGGGCTACATTTTCATTTGTAAATATGTTATTCTATATCTTCACATATTTAAATTATTCTTGGTAATGATTAAAGTCATCAAACAAACATCATACCTACTATTACTAAATATATTCTGGTTTTAAAAGTTTTTTTTTCTAATTTACATTTTTTTCAGCCTGTCATGACAATTCCTTCATCTAATATAAACTTAAAAGTAACAGTGGGATCGTCAGTCCTTACACAAAGCATAAACACAGTGACAACCAAACAAAAAACAATACAAAATCCAACGATCGAACCAAAAATTGTTATGTCATCAATAGAAAACAAAGTGGAACAGAAAAATATGCCAATAATAATCACAACTTCAACGAAATCCGATGATATATTGACTTCGTCGAATTTAACTTCGACGTTCACTTTGTCTCAACCTGTTTCGTCGAAGTCGAGTTCGATATTGAGCTTTAATGTTAATTCACTGCCAAAAGATTTTCTTTCGTCGGCCATTTTGACGAAAACCGACGAATATTGTATGGAGAAGATGAAACAGGAGGACTCATTAGACAATAGTGATGTAGATAATAATGAAGAATCCATGGAGATTGACGAAGGTTTGTATTTCTCCTATAATGTTAGAAAGCTAAAATGTTTAGATATTTTTGTTTCTTTGTACGCTCTAATGTCTGAAACTACTAAGTTTAATTTTTTTTCTAACTTTTTATAGTTTAATTAGGCAGAAATATAGGTTAGGTTCAGACCAATAACACATAAATAAACAAAATAAATTAATTTGAGTAAATAAAGAAATCAGTAAATAATTTCTCTTTCACTCTCGAGAATGACACCATATAAATGAATACTTTTTTAGATAAAAATATTTTTTGAGATGTTTTCGGGATGTATTTTGATTTTTGGTTCTCGATGTGTCAATGCATTACAGAAAGAGTCACGCGAGTGACTTCCAGTGACCATATATACTACAATATATACTAAATGCATCCGGGAAAAAGTCCAAAAAGATAGATTTATTTAAATTGTTACATGTTTGTGTAAATTTAAGAAATTAATTCAACATTAGATGGACATTTCTTTTTTATTTTATATATATTTTTTATAAAACACACCCCTAAGAATGAAATAGTTATTTTTTAAATTGATTTCTAATTTAGTGTAGCTTTTGAGTTAAAAAAATTATAATTGTGTTTTAGAGTCTTTGGCAGTGCTTACATCAAACAGTACTCGTGGAAGATTGGTCTTAGAAGAACATATTAAGGTAATATTAGTTCATAATCTGTCTGTTTGTTTACATAAATAACAATAGATTTTGATATGGTTTTGCTATTATTTAAATATTTTTAGGCTATTAGGTATCACTGCGACCAAGCCTAGTGTTTACAGTAATGAGGTGTAAACAAAAAAATATTTATTAACAATTTACAATGGATTATTATTTACCCTGAATATGTAATTTATAATAAGTTATTAAATAACTTTAGAATACATCATAATTTTGAAATCACAGATAGACACTTCATTTTTTTATATGTATAGCTTATATACCTGTATCGTTACATTCACTCGGGGAGAGAGATAGAGGGCGATGATGGGGAGACATGTATTAGTAATTATCATACTATACTTATATTATGATCAACAACTAAAAAGAAGATTAAAAAAATATATTTTAGTCCCTCTGAGTTTCTTTTTCTAGGTCTTCTCAGGTCTTTTTTCCGAACTGGTAGTAGACTCATGACGATCAGTAAAATTTTGAATAATTTAATTCTGAAAAAAAAAATTAACAATTTCAAAACAAAATTTATTGTGTTTAAAATTTATTTTTTTCTAAATATATCAGAATATTACATTAAAACTATGGGTAATAGTTTAAAAAAATGTTTTAAAAGAAAACAATATCGGATGTGCATTATACAAGACGCGATAAACAATAACATTCCCAAGGAGGTTTGATGTTAGTCAGGCGGCCGGTCGTAAAACTTTTGTATCTAGGGACGAACCCGATCGATGCGAGGGTGACTCGCTAGTTCTGAATGAATTGATCTTCCAGAGGGAACATGCAGAGGGCGTGGAAGTGGGAGTGGGTGTGATGGAGGGAGAGGGGGAGGGGGACGGGGAGGGCGGTGAGCGCTACGTGGACGTGAGGCTGGTGGGCGCGGCGGGCGAGTGCGTGATGGGCAAGCTGCAGATACTGCCCGACGGGGACGGCCGGGACGACTGTGAGTGGGAAATAAAGTGCCTCGCTGGTCTAGTGGCTAGCACGTACACATACAGATCAAAACTAACAAATTAACAAGTTTCATAACTTTTTCATTTGTTGAGATATTTTAATAATTCTTTCATATATCTGATCCAAGACTCTACCACTCGAATTTGAAATATATTAAAAATAAATATTGATTTGGATTATTTTTCAGATATTTTTTTAAGTTAAGAAATAATACAAGAAATATCTATATATCATAACATTAACATAACCTTTTTCAGCAACAATAGTAGTGGAGGGAGATAACGGGTCTATCCTACGGGTGGTGTCCGGACAGAAGTTTTTGTACGGGGACAGTGAAATATCCCTTGTAATGCCGGATGGCTTGGACAATAACGACACTGGAGATAGCCAAGGTATTGTATTATGAAGGTAGGCAAAAGTTTAGCATCTGGCCAGGTTTAAATGAGTAAGCGCTGCTTCCTACACCCCTCCACCCCTCCCCCTCCACCGTATACGCACTTTCTTTTGCTAATGCTGGACTATTACCGTTTAGAAGGTGCAATAAAAATATTTTTATTTTTGTAAAATTTAAGAAATATTTTTTTTTTTCTTACAGATGTTGTTGTTATGATGTAAATAGTATATTCCCAAAAGGTCTTCAGTAAATTAAAAATGATCCTATTATTTTTTTTGCTCTTATTGTAGACTCAAACGACGAATCACAAATAGAGCTGCAAGTGTCAGGCGATGAAGAAACTGCCAACGCCATCATTGCAGCGGCTAAAGAGCAAGGTAATGCATACAACATACTAGCGATTCACCCACGCTTCGCTCGGGTTCGTCCGTAGCGAATAACAAAAACAAATCTATCTCACGGGAACCGTACATTTTCCGGGATAAATAGTGGTATTCCAAACTATGATCTATGTCTTTACTAAAATTTCATCTAGATCCGTCCAGCCGTTATGGGGTGGTTGAGTAACGAATAAATTTTCGCATATATAATATTTATGGCAATTCACTGCAATTTTATGTATTTATATAGATTAAAGTAACAATTATTTAATATAATGTTTTAATATTTCAGGAGGTGCTTTCATAAAGGTGGAGTCCGGGGAGATGTACCAAGTGAAGTCCGTTGAGAGTAAGACTGATGATGATGATACTGTTAAGAAAGTGGACAATACGGTAAGTAAATAAATATAATTACTAGACTGATTAAAAAAAACAGCTTTTATTTTTTTTGAAATCCCCTGTGAAATGGATACAGGGTAGTGGGGAAAGAGGCCTGTAAAAATTGGAAGTCTTAATATTAATATTTAGAGATCGCAAATTTCCATTTTCCATAGAAATAGTATGGGAAAAAATATTTAGCAATTTCAAAATTTTATATCTCTAAAACCAATAGATGAATTCGAATGACCAAAAGAGATTCTTGTAGGGAATTAAACGCTCTACAAAACTTGTCTTTTATCATTTTCCGATAAACCTGCTCGTTCAAAAGTTATTCAAACTGAAAGTAAAATTTTTTTTTCTTAGATTTACGCGAATACTTGACATTTTAAATAAAACTATCTTTTCGGATTTTTTCGCGAATTTATTTTGATTTTTGGTTCCCGACGTTTCGAATGCTTTACAGCATCCATGGTCACGGGAGAGACTGAGGTGTTACATGTCTTGAAGGTATAGTTGTTACAGACAGCCTACCCACAATTAACAAAATGAAAATTGCACCAATTACATTACAATATTTTTTAACTTTATGTTACTGGTAAACAGTATGTTATTGGTTCCACAATCTTTCGACAGTTTACAATCTCGCCAGATAGATTATAATCTAACGGTATTTACAATTTTACGGTGACATATACACTAATATTATTACGTTAATGTGAAATTTTGCGTGTGCTTGTTTGTTCGTTCAATTTTTGTGTGGTTTTAAGAGATATTTGGAATAAGCACAGATTATATATTTTGGATATGTTTTTTTTGTTATTACATTATAATGGGAAATGACAACTGATTTCAGTTGAAGAAGGTTAGGTTTGTCTAAGCGAGTTATTAATTTACAGTCTCCATGCTTTTTGATTGTATATTTAGTTTTTATCTCGATTTATTATTTACACCTTAAGATTATATAGAAAAAGTTTGTGATCTGTTTTATAAAGAAGGCCATCTAAATATATTTGTTTTGAGTGTACATTACACGATAAAGATTTTTTTTTGTTATTTTTATCAACATAATTTATTTTAGGCAAAAAAATAGATGATATATCATTTTCGTTTCAGTTAGTGGCATATGAAGATGGACAATTCAGGTGTCTTTTGTGTGAGAAAAATGATAAAAAAGGTATTTATATTTTATTAATATTTTATAATATTAAAAAATTAATACATTTTTTAATAAAAATCAATGACAAAAAGTTTATGTCAAGCTTTGTTTGATCTTTCTTTTTTATAACTTAAAATAAAAGAAAAAATTACGCATACATTTATTTTCACATAAATAAAAACCAAATGTCAAAATAACATCTTTTTATTAAATGCATGTGAAATTATATACGGTACTTATAAGTAAAACACAAATTTTTTATTTTTTTTCTGTCCGTCTCTTTGTTCCGGCTAATCTCAGAAACGGTTGGACTGATTTTGACGGAACTTTCATTGGCGAATAGCTGATGTTATAAGAAGTAACTTTTTATTTTAGAAAAAAAAGTTTCGCTAAAAAAAATAAAAATGTAGGGATGAGTCGCTAATCGACAATAAATATATGTAATATGTATGTTTATTTATTTTAACGACTCGTTTGGCTCAGTTTTTAGTAACCCTACTTGCTGTGCCAGCGGTTGCGGGTTCGAATCCCGCTGGGGGCATTCATTTGTGTGATGAGCACGAATGTGTGTACTCCAGTCATGGGTGTTTATATTTATAATGTGTACGTATTTAAGGTTATATATGTGTGTATCCATAACACAAGCCTCATAGCTTACCGTGGAACTAAATGGTGATGTGTGTTAATGTCTCAATATATTTATTTATATTTATATTCCAGAGAGTTCGTTCGCGGGCGACGCGGAGGCGTGCATGGCGCACCTGAAGGCGGCGCACGCGGCGCGCGCGTACGTCTGCTACTGCGGGCACGTCGTTAGGAAACGGGCCGACTACGTCGCTCATATTGGTATGTTCTGGTATATTTTGTCTTGTTTGTTTGTTTATTAGTATGTAAATAGCAAAAACAATTTTATATATTATTAATATTATCTATACAAATAAAAAAAGTTGAATTGTCTGCTGTTGTGTAATGTCAAAAATCAAAATACATGTCTTTTTACATTTAGTAAAACAATTTTTTTTTGATCTGTCAGTTTGTTCTGAATAATCTCCGAAACAGCTGGACTGATATTTATAGGGCGTTTAATGGGATAACTTAAGCTACTAGTTACCACGTGGTGTTAGACTAAGCTTTCTGGCGTGATTGAGTCATATGTACAAACATCCATCTGTCTAAGCTTTCGCATTTTTAATATTAATGGGATAATAACACACCATTTCGCAGGCAATTTTTGTATAATAATTTTGTATATTTATTTATTTCATATTTTTTATATGTGATTGATTTTAGTAACTATCATCGTGTAATTTTAATTTAACATTTTAAATAAAACTCTTCTCTGATTTTTTCGTAATTTATTTTGATTTTTGGTTGAAATGTGCAAAAAATGTGAAAAGGTAGTTTTTTTTTTAAATATTAATGTTTTACATTATTTGTTTGTAGAGGAACACGCGCGGAACAACAAGAGTTCGCCAAGTATTGATAAGAGTAAAGTGCACGAGTGTAACATCTGTAAAAAGAAATATAGGTAAATATTATTATATTAATTTACGTTTAAGAAAATATATTTTTAAGTAGCGACTCACCCTCCTTCCCTTTCGGGTTCGGGTTCGTCCCTTGGTACGTTTTATCGGTTAGTATGGGTTTCTCAGACATGAGATAATTTTCCGCAGTAAAAAGTATCCTATATGTTGTTTCGGATAACCAGTTTTCATATACCATCAAAATCTGTCTAGTGGTTTTTTCTTGATGCGTCCCCAGACAGACAGACACTCATTTTAAAAACTATAGATTCAGCCTCTGTATCGATAATAATGACTATTTAAATAAGATTTTTCATAAAAATATTTAATGTACAGATTTGACTCATTGTTAGTTACAATTTTATTATACGTATAGGTGACGGTTAATGTAATTCTTGATTTTTTTTTATGTATTGGTATAAGTACAGTGTTATCCTACATATGCAGCTCCCGCACGCTGCTGGCGGAGCACCAGAACGTGCACAGCGGCGCGCGGCCGCACGCCTGCGCGCGCTGCGGGAAGGCCTTCGCCTCCAAGTACACCTACCAGTCGCATCTCAAGACGCATCTGGTGAGACACACACACACACACGTGCATACCTTACATACGACACCGTTTGAATTAGTTTCATAAAAAAATTATGTGGTATTGTTATTCCTGATTTATGCAAACTTTTGACGCTTTTAATAAAATATCTTTTGCGATTTTTTCGCGGATTTGTTCTGGTTGAACTAGAATAACCGATGCGTGACTCAGTTTCGCTCTTAACTGATTTTATTAATTTTCTCTTAGATATTGATTATAGAAAACCGATTGCTATACAAAAAAAAAATATTTTTTTTAATATTATTTTTTCTCAGGTGCGTCCCAGGCCGTTTAAATGCAACCAATGCGGCAAATCATTCTTCACACTTCAGAATTTAAATCAACACGAAAAAACACATTCAGGTGTTAAAGACTTCATTTGTAACGTTTGTGGTGAGTGAATGGATTAGTTTATTAGATATTATATTTTTATACAATTAACGTTTAAGTTAAGTTTTAACGTTTAGTATAGATTTCTGCGAGATGAGGTATTTTCCCGCAGTAATAAACATAATATACGTTGACCCGGATAATCAACTATCATCATACCAAACATCATAATCTGTCCAGTGGTATTCTCGTCATACGTTGCCACACAGACAGACAGACTAAAATTCTAAAAATTATAGAATCGGTCTCGGTTTCGATAATAATGATTATTTCAATAAGATTTTCTAAAAAATATTTAATGTACAGATTCGGTACAGGTAGAATTTTATTATATGTATAGGTTATCCTAAAGTTATAAAATATAAGTATTGAAATTAACATCTGTTAGGGATTAAAGAAAAAGAAAATATGTTGCGGAAATTAATTTTAAATTTATATTTATTTTCATGTTTTTTAATTTTTTCTCGCGGAATCTCGATTATTTCTTTAAAACGTCAGTGAAAGTTCCGTCAAAATTAGTCCGTCCGTTTCACTGATTAGCCGGAACAAACAAACAGACAGACAAAAAATTAGAAAATTGTTTTTTCTAGTGCCCTAAATACTGTCATATGCATTTAGTAAAAGCTGTTATTTTGAAATTACAAACAGATTTTTCAATTTTATTTATCTGTACAGACAACAGTTACATCTATATTCAAACGTCACAATCAACTGACAGATGTCATAATTTTTTTTTAATTCCCCCAGGCAAGGCGTTCGGCACACAGCACAACCTGGAAGTGCACGGCGTCGTGCACTCCGGGAACAAGCCGTTCGTGTGCGGCGTCTGCGGGAAGGCCTTCGCGCGGCGCGCCGAGGTGCGGGACCATATGAGGATACATACTGGTTTGTTTCGTGTTTTTGAGATTTTACTGAACGGCTAGGGAATGCGACGAAATATAAATTTACTTATATTAATTAAATTGTTACTAATTAAATGACTACTGATCGATTTTAGATCAAGTAATGCATTTTATAATGTTAAGCCTTTATATATACGATCTTGACATCAATCGAATTTAGGTTCCTGTTGCGCTTGAGCTCGTTAAAGCCATACTACAATTAAGGGTATTTTTAAACAAACTAAATAAATCGTAACTGCGTATATTATTAGTGCATTACATTATACATTGTAATACATAACAAATTGATTTTCTTTCTTATCTAGGTAAATGAATATGTTGTGTTTTCGAGACTTCCGTGATGCTGCGGGCCTCGGGTACGTGCCCCGTGTGCCCCCATGGTAAAGACGGTACTGCGTTGGGGTTAGCCGTGTGTAATATATGTGTGTTACGAGATAGTTGGGCGAAATGAGAAATGTTTTTTTTTATTATAGTATTTTTTAACGAATAGATGTCAAGTACTAATAGTTTTAGAAATGTGTGTATAATGTGTGTGTGTGTGTGTGCAGGCGAGCGGCCGTTCACGTGCGACACGTGCGGCGCGCGCTTCACGCAGCGCTCGAACCTGCACTCGCACCGCCGCGCCACGCACCTCGACGACAAGCGCTACCACTGCGCGCTCTGCCCCAAGCGCTTCAAGCGCAGGCGGTCAGTGTGTTTTATAATTTAATCATTATCAATAGACTTTCCATTTTTTTTATATCTAATATATAAAATTTCCATGTCACAATGTTGGTTACCGTACTCCTCCGAAACGGCTTTACCGATTTTTACCAAATTTTATATGCGTATTCAGTAGGTCTGAGAATCGGCTACTATCTATTTTCCATACCCCTAAGTGATAAGGATGATGGTGGTCCTCCCAGACCCCACCCCAGGGATGAACCCCAGCAGAGCGAGGGTGAGTCGCTAGTTTATTTATAAATTTTAGACTCGTTCATACAAAACAGACGCTATTCGGAATTAGGAATGTTAAAAGTTGAAAAAATTCTAACACGGTATTTTGTACATAGATAATATGACCTATTTATACGATATAATTAAACTGTTATAATATTTATGTTATATATACGTATATTATGTGAAATTTTGTGCGTGTTTGTTATCCCTTCGAGCTAAAACGGCTGAACGGATTTACGTGAATTTTAATACACAGCCAAACGATGTAATATATATATATATAGGCCAGTGGTAGCCTAGTCGTAACCCGTTCCCTTGAGGTACCGAAAGGGGTAAAACGGGTTCAAATCCCAGTTCTCGCATCTCTAATATTTTCATGTGCGGAACATTTCCAATATAATTACGATTCGTCTTACCTGCATGTCTGAGAGAATTTAGCAAGTTTTCGAAAGATACGCTCAGTCCATCCTCACTCGACCGATGTGGTGGTCTATGGCCTGATCCCCTCGCGTCGAAGGAACTCCCACGCCCAGCAATGGGACGTTAAAGGAGTCCGCCCACTACACCGTCTCATACCATGACCGTGCTACGTGCTACTAGGCACGGAAACGAGCATGATACGCACTAGTATACCCACCCCGCCCGCAGGCTGCTGGACTACCACGTGAAGGCGGCGCACACCGGCGAGCGCCCGCTGCAGTGCGCGCTGTGCCGCGCCAGCTTCGTCTACCCCGAGCACTACAAGAAGCACGTGCGCATACACAGCGGCGAGAAGCCCTACACCTGCGAGGTCACACCATTTCTTTGTTTGTTTATTCATATTTTTGAAGAGAAACTTCTTTAGAATCGTTGTGATTTGAAACTCGATGAAACGAAATGCGACACGAGAAAGAGACAAACGCTTAAATCTATGGGATTAAGCCGGCGAGAGAATGAGATACGGTACGTTGCCATATTGCCATGGTAACCATCATTTCTGTATAAGATATTCTATAAATATATGATTTTATGTCTTGTTTAATTATTTGAAATAGGATACATTACACAGAAAGTGAAAAATAATAAAATTAACTACTGAATATTGTGTGATGTATATTTATGTCAAATAAAATGAAAAATCATTTTTACTTGGTACATAAATATGGTACATACATACAACTTGGTAAAAATATTATAAAATAAATAAAACTTATAATTATTCTACTCCTAATACTCTATATTGATCTCATTTTGTCGTAGGTTACTTTTCTAAAGTTTCACTTCTACCGTGTGTGAATTGCATACACACGCACTTTTTCTTTCATTCATTTTTCTCTTCTCGAGGTTGATCAGCATTACTGAAATTGGTCATAAGAAAATTATTTACATATAGACAGAATATATATTATATACGGAGGTGTGATAAGTATTGTCTCTTACTTGTTTATTTCCGAGATAAAATTATCCTATGTTCCTCCTAAGGTCGAATTTCATCTAAATCGATTCGGCGGATTAACCGTGAGAACATAACAGACAGACCGACATGAACTTTGGTATGTATACTATGTGGCAGGTGTGCGGCAAGTCGTTCAACTCGCGCGACAACCGCAACACGCACCGCTTCGTGCACAGCGACCGCAAGCCCTACGAGTGCGTGGTGTGCGGCGCCGGATACATGCGCAAGCAGCTGCTCTACCACCACATGAACACCAGCGTGAGTGCACACACACACACACACACACACGGACATACACACACACTGTAGGATCTTAAGCAAACAATATTTATTATAAGAATATTTACTTGATAGGTTTATTATCTCAATGATCGAGAACGATACACGTAGGTACGAGTCACAAGAAGTTAGAAACTCACTGATAAGTAACATATATTACATACTACATAGATCGAACTTACGATTTTTTATCTGCATTTTCTATTTCTGTCCCGCTATTTAACACTATTTCTCACATGCATGGGTTGATTGGAAGAGACCTATTATAGAGATAAGTCCACCTTTGTCCAAGTCACTTTCTATGTATTTTGTTTTCTTATAACTAGTAAGCAATGCCTGCGGCTTCGCCCGTGTTCAGATGGCCAAAAACCAAATTCTTAGATTGCAGTTTTTGTATTTTTTCTCAGAAATGAGATATTTTCCCGCGGTAAAAAGTATCCTATATGTTGACCCGGATAACCAGCTATCATCATACCAAATTTCATCAAAATCCCTCTAGTGGTTTTTCCGTGGTGCGGTAACAGACAGGCAGACAGACAAAAATTCTAAAAACTATAGGTTTGGCCTCTGTATCGATAATAATGACTATTTCGATTAAATTTTCCAAAAAATATTTAATGTACAGATTCGACTTAGTTAGAATTTTATTATCTTATAACTTATTTTGCAATAAAGAATATATATACATGTAGATCGACGCGCCATCAAGTGGCAAAAAAGGATTCACGTTACAATTCCTACGTACGCTGCGTTCCGTTTCTATTACACACACATATACAAACAAACCGATACACACACTTATATGCATGCGTGCATACAGGCGTGCATATACATTCAAAGTACAAATGTCACACGAGGAAGTCAATTTTGTTTGCTCAAATTGACGATAGATGGCGTTCATCTGTTAACTGTCGGAAACATTTTATTATTAATGATTGAATGTTTAATAATGAAGTAAAATTACGGGCTTTCTCTCTTTTAAACAAATATCAATAATTAATTTATTTATCGATACATATAAATATAAGCAGTAAGTTGGCATCAATCAAGAAATACTTTTAATTAATCATAAATTGTACTGTAAAAATCTTCACTGTAATATTTTTTTTAAATGTTTAAAACAGACAGATGTAAAGTTAAAAACTTGTTATTAACTATAATAGTTCTCAATTGTTTTTCTATTTTCAATTCCAGGGTCACTTGGCTGAATCTATAGTGGTGAATCAACCGAGGGTCACGAAACTAGCGGACAATGTGAGTTATTGAATAGTCTTACTAGCCACTCACTCTGGCTTCGCTCGGGTTCGCCTCTAGGAAAACAAAAACAAACCTATCCAAAAAGTACAGATTTCAATGCAAAATTGTTATTTAAAATATAGCTATTATTAACTTTCTCAATCTAAGTATAATAGTGTACTTAACACTTTGAGGTTTCTAAAAAAATCACGACGTATTTATTCAATTTTTTAAAGATACAGATGCATTAACTTTTGCGCCATAAAATGGCGACATTTTAATTCAAACTTACGTTACAACATATAAATAAACTGACAAAGTTTAAACAAATAAAAAATATGTAATGTAGCGAATCATAACTTCTATATAAAAATTATCGTACATCTTTGAGCTAGTTTTTTATTTATGGTGTATAATTTATTTGCAGGTACTAACAACACAGTCGGTCATAGTGGACACATCTAAAACGGAGAAGTTTTCAGAAACTGTAAGTGCGATAATAAATAAGTTGTATTGTTTATATAAAACTAGCGAATCACCCTCGCTTTGCTCGGGTTCCTCCCTAGCTTGATTCCCCCTACGAGCTTTCATCCCCATTTTCACCCCCCTTAAGGGATGATTTCCGGGATAAAAAGTATCCTATGTCCTTCCTAGTGTCTTAAACTATCTTCCTACCAAATTTCATCTAAATTGGTTCAGTAGATCCAGAGATTACCCCCTACAACGTCACAAAGTCACAAACTTTATCTCTTTATAATATTAGTATAGATAACTTAAAATGGTATGAAGAACTAGAATTATCTATACAGATAAATAAAATTGAAGTGTCTGTTTGTAATGTCAAAATAACAGCTTTTTACTAAATGCTTAGGAAATTAATGATATACGGTACTTATAAGAAAAACAGTTTTTTTTTTATTTCGTCTGTTTTTGTCTGTTTGTTCCGAATAATCTCTGAAATGGCTGGACCGATTTTGATGGGACTTTCACTGGCAAATGGCTGATGTTTTCAGGAGTACTTTGGCTGCTTTTATTTTAGAAAAAGAATTAGGGTTCCGCGAGTAAAGCGAGGGTGAGTCGCTAGTTTGTTATAAAATCAGAATGATCAACAAATCATCGTATCAGTGATTATTTAATATATATATACGTCCAAATTGTTTAGATAACACATGTCACTTGTCGCAACAGACAAAGTGAGCAAAACGAGTATTAATTTAGAATTGACATTAAAAAGTCAATAATTCTTGTAACTTTTTCGGTAAATTGGTCTATTATATAAATATATATATATATATATATATATATATATATATATAATCTTCGTATATCGTACTACTTCTAATAATACTTTATTAGATGTACGCGAATATTTGATACTGTGAATAAAACTATGTTTTCGGGATTTCTTCGCGGATTTATTTTTGGTTCCCGACGTTTCGTATGCTTTACAGCAATCATGGTCACAAGAGAGACTAAGATTTTAGACGTCTCAAAGGCATTATATAATTGTGTTTCTATATAGCTTTTAAACATCACTATCCGATATCCCGCCAAATCCGCAAAACAAGGCCGGATAGGCCGGATGCCGGATATACATTTCAACTCTAATATGAAGTAACTGATAATTAAATATGTATCATCTCATTATAGATATATGAAGAGGCGGAGGAGTTACAGTTAGAAGCAGATGACAAAAGTAACGGTAAGCTTAGATATTAATATCCATACTACCACCTACATCCTGTACTATATACTATAATTAATATTATAATTGATTGAGATTGTGTTCTAAATTAAACTATCTTTTCGGATTTTTTCGCGGATTTATATAGATTTTTGGTTCCGGACGTTTCGAATGCGAAAATATAGTTTTATTTAAAAAATGTCAAATATTCGCATATATTTAAGAAAGTATTATAATATGAGCTTGTGTGTTTCAGCAGCAGACGGCGAGAGTGCGACGAAATTCTTCATAACTGGTGATAAGAAGATACTGTTGCAAGATGGTACGTGTGACCGTCGTTGGTTATTTATTATTGTATTTTATACTTTTTGTAATGTCAATATAACAGCGTTTTACTAAATGCATATGAAATTATATTCGGTACTTATAAGAATTTTCTTTTTTTCTTTGCAGGAAAATCGACAATAAATCTCGTACAAGAGGGTGAAGAACCAACGTTACTTACTTTACGTAAGTATATATTGTGTTGTTATTTTTTTTTTATAAAAAAAAAATTCTTTCAAAATTAAATTCTTAAATGGAAATGATTATTAAATAACTATAAAGAAATAGGTAGTATATTTCTTAGATTTACGCGAATGTTTGACATTCGAAACGTCGGGAACCAAAAATCAAAATAAGTCCACGAAAAGTTCCGAAAAGATAGTTTTATTCTAAATGTAAAGATATATTTTTTTGTTATTCAAATGAGAAATCTTCATCACAGATAACATAGAGGGCAACATGAAGACGGACGCCACGATACTAGATAACCTCACGGAGGAACATCTCACCGAACAACAGGTACTTATGATATAGAAAATATTTTATACTAGCAGAACCCGCGGCTTCCTTCGCCCAAAACTACAAAAAAAATATCTAAAAAGTTTGGTTTCATACAAACTTTCATGCCCTATTTCACCCCCTTATGGGATGAATTTAGAAAAATGCTAAAACATGTATTTATTTAATTATATTAATACTATGTTTCAAATAATTCTGATCACAAATCTTTTTTGCGTTGTGTTATAACGTGTTTTCCCGTGGGAATGAGATAATCTCCCTCGGTAAAAAGTAACCTATGTCACTCTCCAGTCCTCCAACTATATCCATACAATTTTTTTTTATTATATGTATAGATAAACAACAGTACAATATTTTTATATATATTTTGTTTTCATCCGCAGACAAGTAACGCCATACAGCTAGTGCCAGTGGAGCTCCCGGACGGTTCCAGTGGATGGGTCGCTTTGAACTCATAATTACTTATATTTTACTTATGATGATGAAGAGAAATACCTTAGTTATCAAGTTTTCTTCAAAGAAAACATTATATTATTTAAAAAAATAAGAATCACTGTAATTAATTGTTTTTTTTTAAAAAAAAGGTTACCTGAACAGGTAATCGAACAAACTAAAAATACAATAAAATATACCGTCTCTATTTTATCGAACTAACCGATAGTCTATGGTAAGAATAAAATCTCTCAAACAAACTTTGTGTCTTATAATTAAAGAAAACCATGAAATCTTACAATTTTACATTTTGACTAACACCGTGGAACAAACGCACGGGGCATATAAGTAAAGTGCCTATATTGAAAATATCGAGTTTCACTCAAACGAAGGATTATTTTATTTTTAAAAATACGAATTATTGCATTTAATTTTTTTTTAAAAGATGTTATGTTATACCTTGTGATACCTTTGAGGAAATTTTCTATAACTTTAGTATTTAAGGTACTTTTTTTCCATTCATCCATTTGTGCCAGCATGTATATTGTATATTGTATAAAATATATATATATATAGAAAAAATCATTTATTTTGACAGAAGTGCTATAGTTTGGTGAAAATAAAAAAAACTATATTGAGGGCCCTTTATACTTAAAGGAAAACAGGTTCGAATCCTGAGTCTCGCATCTATTATATTATTTTCATCAGTGAATCATTTCAATATGAGAATCATTAGTTTGTAAATCAAAGGAAAAATCATATGGATAATATCTGAGAGTTAGACTAATTCTTGAAAAAAGATGTGAAATAAAATTATTTTTTGGTTTTTTCTCTGAATATTAAATTAAAATCCGAAAATATAGTTTTATTTAAAATATCAAATATTCGCGTAGATCTAAGAATCATATAAAGTCCATTAGCACTTGGCCACATGGTGGACTTGATGACGTATTGAAGGGGGGTTGATTGTTGGAATTATTATTACGCTTAATTAAATATGAATAACTCAAAATCCCATAAATATTATAAATGTGAATGTTTGTGAGTATGGATGTTTGTTACTCTTTCACGCCAGAACGGCTGAACGGATCTGGATGGAATTTGTCACAGAGATAGATTATAGTCTGGAATAGCATATAACCTATGTGTATATTTTTATCCCGGAAAAATGTATGGTTCCCGTGGGATATCCGTACTAACTGACAAAATGTATTTAGAGGTGAACCCGAGCGAAAAATGTAATAAAATTTGTGTTTTTAATCTTAATAGTAATATATTAAATTAAAATTATTTTTTTACACTTATTTACTTAAACCATATTGACACGACTAAAAGCCACGCGACAAAGAATAATAATAACATAAATTACGACAATGTAAAAGCTTTGTAAATATTGCACTTAAATAAAGTTGTTTTAAATTTTCATGAATTAGTTTTTTTTATTAAATGTCTCGACGAACCAGCCATGTATAGTTTCCATACGTTTAACTTAGTTTTTGAAGTTATATTTCTTTTGGCACGTTTGGAAAAAATTATAAAAGTAAAATTTTACGATGCGCGCGCACACCGACAGCCAAAAAGCGACATGATGAAGTTAGGTGGACTCCTTTTACAGACAGAGAGTTGTGACATACGAGATGAAATCTTTAGTTATTTTTGTTCTGTTACGCCAAAGAAGTATAACTTGTTACGTGCGTACATAACGTACACACACACACACGTTTTTTTTTAGATAGATCGTTTTCCTTTGTTTTGTTAATTATGATTTCATTATCATTTTGTAACAGTAACTCACATTGCATCTAAAATTGTACATATTAATTGTAAGTATGTAAGATGTAAATTATTTCGTCAATAAAGTTTATGAATAAATGAAAGCTTTTATTTTCACACCTATAATTGATATGCTACATATTAGAAAGGTCAGTGAAAGTATTCAATTTTACAGTTGATACAATATTTTAAATAAATCTTTTCGATTTTTGATACAATATATCAAATGTTCGTGTAAATTTAAGAAAGTAGTACAATATTTATTAGTATTTAATTATTTTTATTTGCAAATGAATACAAAAATTAAATTTTTTCTCTATTACATTATTGAGATCGTAGTATTTCTTTTAAATTGTACGCAGACTAGATAAGTTATAAGGGAGGAGTTCGAAGCTCTATATGTTCATTTTATTAAAATATATATTATTTGGGTGGCAATAATTCGTTTAGAAATCGTGTTTTAATTTTTTTTAAATCAATAGATGGCGTTGATGTTCAAACTGAGAAACTATTTCATTTGCTCAATATGGAAGGAAACATACAAAATGAAAATAATAGCAAATACATAGCATTTGTTCTAACAAATTGAATTTTAACTGACTCACCACTTTTATCCGCCGTAATCAACTAATTTATATTAGCAGCGCCATCTATGAACAGCTGTATAACTTTACAAACAGATTTTTCTAGATATATACAGATATACGTTTTAAATTTTTTTTCTCACTAAAAAAATTACATCCCTGTATTTTGTTTATTGTATTTATTTTATTGGAGCATATAATTTATTAAATAATTACATTTAAATGAAAATTGAATTTTATCTTAACACCATCTGTACTATGTGAATAATAAAATATTGTTTTCCTTTTTAATCGATAAAAAAAATCATATCTCTCATATTATAATTACTTAATGAAATTGAATTTCATAAAAGTACCGAGAACCTACAGAAGTTTCACTTCTTGCAGGTCTACACATTCATACACGTACTCTTTTTATTTTTTTATACAGTTTCACTAACAGATTGTTACATATGACGACATTTGTTAATATTTATTTGAATGATTTGAACAAAAATAATACAAAACTAAAACAACGCCATCTATTAACACATAGTACAAACTTAAAAACGATGAAATAACTTTAAATCAGAATAAGTTACTATTTGTAATAATTAATATATTTATCGTGTTATCCATATTCTACCGACATCATCTTTAGTTGTTACTAATCTTGTGAGCGTTATCAGAGCTTAATGCGGACAAATAATAGAGTATTCAATGGTCAATACAATTTAATAAGGGAAATCATGTTATAAAATTCACGGTCACGGCCACTTTTACACGGCAGAGGTATTTTATCATGCACAGAAAAAAAATGTTTTTGATTTTTTTGATATATAAATAAGGAATATACGCACTGAACGTATAAATGTAACAAAATATGACCTGCTTACAACTGGCTGCGAAGAGGTTGCGGCCAAGTGCGGAACGGCAGCTATCACTTTTCAAGATCTCTAAGTATATTTCTGTGGAATATAATTCATTTTAATAACAAGTACAACGATTTTGTTCTAAAAAGTCAATTATTAATAATTTAATTAAACATACTAGCGGGCACATTTTAATATGCACTACTGTCAAAACATATTGTCCCTTTTATTATTGTATATAAAAAACTGATTTTGTTTAAATACGCTATGAATGCAGCATACTTGCAGCCGGATCTTAGTCCATTTCTCTTTACTAATTTATTTTTAATTATTAACAGATTTTTCAGAAAATACAATATACCCGGTGTTGTGCTTGTATAGATTCACATTTATATGTTTCACTTCGTTACAGCAAAATATAGTTATTTTTTGCTGGTCTGTGATAGTGAATGTTGAATTATAAATGTTAATGCCAAATATGAAGAAGCTACGCATGAAGCCTTCATTTGGAAAAATAGCTTAGTGAGGTTATTGACAAGACTAAGTTCTCTTTTTTTATCAGACACGTGGTTATATTGCAGTTAAATATTTATATACTTTAAAAATTAAAAAATTACATTCATCCTCATTTATTTTATTTGATTTTTTCTGAACTCCACATGCAAGGGCGTTAATCATTATAGAGGATATCATACCTCATTGTAGAAGATAAAAAATGAAACAATAACATTTCCAAAGAGTTTTATTTTAACATTGTATATAATATAAAACATTGAACGAAAGTGCTTTATGACAAATGAGGTTACAATAAATATTGCAAAAACTAGAAAAAAAAACCCACATTTCAAATATTTCATTCAAATCAAAAAAAAATTGACCGGATAAAGACTTCTATCAATTATTCTAATATCAATAGTAATTCAATATCCTATCTATTATTTATTTATTAAAAAAAACATCCCAAAAATGTGAAAAAAATATAAATAAATAACTGTTGCAATAATTAATTTTCAAAATAGAAGTAGATTTTATATTACAAATTAAATAATGAGTATTTTGTTGAAGTAAAACTTGTTTAGGCGTGACTGAGAGGCGAGTCAATACATTGGAAAAATTGGAGAATTGGAGAGTCAAATTTATTATTAATATATAATTTAAACATAATATTATATTTATATTTTTATAATAATAATTATTTAGAAAAATATACATATTTATTATTAACAATTTTTATAATAATTATTACTCATAAAAATGGATATTTATTATTAATCTTTATATATATGTATATAATTCTTCTGTACGTGTGTTTGTCACCTTACTCCTCCTAAAGGGCTGGACCGATTTGGATGAAATTTTGTGTGTGTATTTCAATGGGTTGAAAACCATCCTTTCCTGGATCCGTTCCTGGATGGTTTGAAAACATAATTGGACCCGGTAGGTGGCGCTGCTGTCGGTTTGTCATAGTATGTTTTTTTAATAGTTTGTATTCCAAGTAATTTTATAAAAATGATTATATTTATATTTTGAATTGTTTCAATTTAATTGCGGTATCTGCCACAGAGTTAAAGAAGTTTTACTTCAATATACAACAATATTTTTATAGACATTGAGCGTATTATGACATGTGTTGTCCGCACTTGTCTCCGGAGCAAGTCTCTCCATACTCTGCACAGGGTCGATCTGCTACCTTCAAAGCCTCTGATTTTGCACAGAATTGAATTACACTGCAACAAAATAAATATTAATTAATTATAAACCCAATTATAATAATATTATAAATGCGAAAGTTCGGATGGATGGATGTTTGTATATATGTGTACTCAATCACGCCCGAACGGCTGAACGGGTCTGGATGAAATTTGGAACAGAGATATATTATAGTCTGGAATAGGACATAGGATACTTTTTATCCCGGAAAAATGTACGGTTCCCGTGCGATAGATTCGTGTTTATTTTCCTGAGTTGCTAGTAGTATTATAAATGTGTAAGATTATGAAGATTTTTATGTTTGGATGTTTGTTAGTCAATCACCCATAAACCAGTGCATTTGAATAACTCACCCATAATCGCCTTTCTCCATCCATTTCTCGTCTATTTTATTCAATTGCTCCCATTTCCCTTTGGGCAGACCGCAAATGAGGTCGGCCTTTACCGTCCTTAGGGCTATCACAGGGGCCGGCATGAAACCTGTTAACAATAAATAAATAATATAAATAATTTAAAAAACGTATGTGTGTGTACGTTATATACGCACGTAAGAAGTTATACTTCTTTGGCGTAACAGAAAAAAAATAGCTAAATATTTCATCCCGCATGTCACAACTCTCTGTTTGTCAAAGGAATGCAGCTAACTTCATCATATCGCTTTTTGGCTGTCGGTGTGCACGCGCATCGTAAAAATTTTACTCATAATTTTTTCCAAAAGAATGCCAAAAGACGTGCCGTGCCAAAACAAGTATAACTTTAAAAACCCCGTTTATTTCGCACTTTAAATACAATTTTTACATAGCAACATTAGTAAACTTCTCTATATCACAGATAACATAATACGCAAAAAATATAACATATGCCTCATCCCATACAAATATATTGGACGGCGCTAATTCGGACTATTCTTCGGGTTATTTTGGTTTGTCTGAATAGATGTTTTATTATACAAATATGTGCAAACTAACATATGGTAAATATTGTAAGATTCATCCTGCACTCGAACAAAATCAGTGAATTTACCAATTTTTAATATTTATTACACGCCATCTGTAAATATACACTACTGCAAAGCCATCGTCTGATTGCTGATATTTCAAAAATCAGTAAAATGAAGCAAATTTCATTTACGGATACATTATTTATTTTCGCTTCTACCTCCTTGTATATTTACATACTGTATATTTTATTTATCTTTATATATATAATTCTTCTGTGAGTGTGTATGTCACTGAACTTCTCTCAAACGACTGGACCGATTTTGATGAAATTTTTTGTGTGTGTTCAAGGGGATCTGGGAATGGTTTAGATTCACAATTTGAATAATAATTTTCATCAAAAAAATTATTAAAAAAAGTTTGAAATTTTCAAATTAAAGACGTGTAGACAGGACAACGTCTGTCGGGTCCGCTAGTTAACAATAAATCACTACAGCTGTCATCGTTTTCACGCTTGGTACTTTTATTTATACTTTTACCTATTTTAACTTATTTACCATAATCCTATTATTATTATACCAGTTTTCATAAATAACAAATCGATACATGTAACGTGATCTATTGACACATTTATTAGAATTATTTTCCTTTGTTCTACATCTTATTTATATCAATCTTCAGATAAGTCCAGCGGGTGATATTGTGAAGTTTGGTAGCGATTGAAGATTCAATCATGCAATTTGAAGATTCAATCATAAAATTTCAATCAAACAAAGATTTATAGACGTTTGAACGCGAACGAAGCCGCGGGAAATGCTAGTGCATCGTCTATAAGTAGTAGTAAATAGTCAGTTTTGTAAATGTTAAGTTTTTTTTTATAAGTTCATTTTATTATTGAATTCTAATTGGATTTCTAATATTATGTTTTTTTTATAATTTAGAAAATAAAAAAATGATTTCACATTAATTATTATATTACCAAATTAAATTATAATATAAAAAAAAGAAAAGAGTACCGCCCGAACAGGGACTTGAACCCTGGACCCTTGGATTAAAAGTCCAATGCTCTACCGACTGAGCTATCCGGGCTATGGAGGAGTCCTTCAAAATCGCAATGCAAATAAAAGTACATAATATATATTTTGTACAATATTCGATTGGTTAACTATAAAAACTTATCGATTTTAAAGATAAATATATTTGAGTAAAAATAGTTAAAATTCATGATATAATACTTTTAGCATTATTATAAAATATTTTGCTATAGTATACATACAGCAAATTTACTTATGTGATACATACATCTACATATAGAGATAAAAAAAATTGATGTATCTGTTTGTAATGTCAAAATAACAGCTTTTTAATAAATGCATATGAAATTACATAGGTACGTTACTTATAAAAAAAAAAACAATTTTTATTATTATATTTTGTCCTCTGTCTGTTCGATTCATCTCCGAAACGGCTGGACCGATTTTGAAGGGACTTTCATTGGCAGATAGCTGATGTTATAGAGATTACTTTTTTACAAAAAAATAAAAACCTATGAAATTGTGAACCAAATCCGTGTACCTAGGGACGCACCCGAGCAGAGCGAAGATAAGTCGTTAGTTTATAATATTACTAGAAATACAATATATAACTTACCCTGCAAAGCTGCTTCAAAGCCCAAGGAAGGGTTACAGTTGATTTCCCCCAACAATTTCCTGTAATTCAAGTCGCCTTTGAATAAAACAGCGATGGCGAATTGTAGCTTCCTGTACAGCTGGGGGTCGTACAGCTTCATGTCTTTGTACACGTGGGGGTATGTCCAGAAATCATCGCACTGTAAACAAAATATAAGGAATTTTGAAAAAAAATATATTTATACTACATGTACTCGTATTAATATTAGCTTACAGAAGCTACTTAGCATTTGGAGGGCCTTGGGCTAATACTTCTCGGGAGCCTACACTAATAATTAATTAATTATTAATAAAATTTATAATGATAGATTGATAGATTGATAGATTGATAAAAAAAAGGTGTGTGTGTACGTTATGTACGCACGTAAGAGCTTATACTTGTTTGGTGTAACAGAACAAAAATAGCTAAAGATTTCATCCCGTATGTCACAACTCTCTGTAAAATGAATGCAGCTAACTTCATCATGTCGCTTTTTGGCTGTCGGTGTGCGCACACATCGTAAAAATTATATTCTCATATTTTTTCCAAACGGGCCAAAAGAAGTATAACTTCGCTGTGTATGAGTCATTTGTCATTTGTAGACACTGCCTATCATCTGCTTTATATTTTCAGGTTAAATAAAAGATTATTTTGTGAATTTTTAAAAGTTGTTTGATAAATTTTTAAACTGTGAATTGGCGTGTAGTTTAAAAAAACTTACGTCTTATTATGTAGGTCTTCTTATTTTTGCTTATACAGGGGAAAATCCTTAAAAATATGCTTATGTAATACTTGAACGTCTTTTAATATTATTGTAGATATCTATACATATAATAAAACTGTAGAGGTCGAATGTCTGTACATAGCAAAAAAATGCCAAACACCTAATCAGGGGGATGTAAGAAGAGAAATAGAACAAATACATTTTTTTTTTTTCAAATTTTTGTTTCTCTGTTTGTCTGTATGTCTATTTGTCTGTTTGTACGGGCAAATCTCTGAAAATGTTGGACCGATTTTAATGAACTTTTGCATGGTGGTGGTTAGTCGCGTGAGATAGTTAAAAAACTATAATAACTTATACAGCTTAGTACACAACAACTTATGCATCCAATTTAGTATTTGGTATGCTGATACCTTATATTGCCGGTCAAACAAAAGGTTACGTTTTATCTCGGCAAAATGTCCGGTTCCCGTGGGATAGATCTGTTTGTGCTTTTCAGTAAAAAATAAAAGCCATGTTCCAACGTTACCATGACAACAAAAGTCCCATCTTCATAGTACTTCATCCACTCTTTGCCCAAGTTGCGTAAGTTTTCTGATGTCACTATCCTCGGCCCTTCCGCTTGTACACTCTCGCCATCTGCTGTTTCTATAATACTCGTAATTATAATTTAAATCTGTATAAATATTATAAATGTGAAAGTTATGTATGGATGTTTGTTACTCAATCACGCCAGAACGGCTGAATAGATCTGGATGAAATTTGGCACAGATGTGGATTATAGTCTGGAATAAAACATTGGCTACTTTTTATCTCGGAAAAATATACGGTTCCCGAGGGATAGATTTGTTTTTGTTTTTCGTAATACTTTTGAATATATTTCGAGGTTTAGTTTTATTTATTTTTTTGTACCCGACGATTTTTACATCTATCTATACAGATATATAAAATCGAAGTGTCTGTTTGTAATGTCAAAATAACAGCTTTTTACGAAATGCATATGAAAGTATATACGCTATTTATAAAAAAAAAAACAATTTTATTTTTTTTATGTATCTGTCTGTTTGTTATGGCTAATCTCCGAAACTGCGGGACCGATTTTGACGGGACTTTCACTGGCAGATAGCTACTACTACTACAGATAGCTACTAGCTACTCTTGTTTAATAAAAAATATTAGGATTCCGCTCGAGCGAAGAAAGAGGAAATCGGTAGTATCGTAAATAATATCACTAAGAAACAACACTCAGTACCTGATCTCGGTTCTGGAGGCACTTCCTTACTAAAACTTGCTTGAGCACACGCGTTTATAACATACCTGTAAAAATAATGAAAAAAGTATTATTTTCCAACCTACTTCGTGTCTTCTCCATTCTACGTGACATTGGCGAAGTAATTTGTGCTCTACTGGCAGGCTTTAAAGCCTTTAACAAGAGAATTGAATGTACACTATTTTTATGGGTCCGTAACCAAAAGGCAAAAATGGAACCTTCGGATCCATTCCGCCTTGTCTATCTGTCTGTATGTAACAGTAATTTTATTAGAGTTGCCAAAAAATGTGTCCACATAAGTATGAGATATTTTACGAGTCTAGAAATAACCAATATGGGGTAGATGTTTCTTAAGATTTTTGTTTAAGTTAATAACTGAACTGTAAGCTATTAAAGCGATAAATCTATACTAATATTATAAAGAGGTAAAGTTTGTGACGTTGTGGGGGATAATCTCTGGATCTACTGAACCGATTTCGATGAAATTTGGTAAGAAGATAGTTTGAGACTTGAAGACTTTTTATTTCGGAAACCATCCGTTAAGGGAGTGAAAATGGGGATGAAAGTTTGTATGGGGAATCAAGCTAGGGACGAACCCGAGCGAAGCGAGGGTGAGTCACCAGTAATATATATATATATATATATATATATATATATATATATTATATGCTATAGCATATTTCTAAATATCATAACAATAACCTGTTGATTAGAGAGAAATTGATCATTAGATAACTTATTATTTTTGTCGTCCATGTATTTAACTTTGTAAGAGAAACTAAAACAAACTCACTCGAAGTCCTTCGGAGTGACATCTGAGACGAACCAAGGGATTTTCTTCACGTGGAATCTCACCTGTAAATAAACATTATAACAAAATTTCATACTATTGCATATATTATTAGTTTGTTTCTATATAACTAAAATAATAATATTTGTAGATGTTTTTATATTATGTATTATTAATGAATTATTATATGTTATCATTATAAAATATATATTTTTTTAAATAAATCAAGATTTAGTTTTAATTTAAGACCAATATATTAAATAAAATTATCTTTTCGGATTTTTTCGCGGATTTATTTTGATTTTTAGTTCCCGACGTTTCGGATGCTTTACAGCAATCATAGCCACGGAAGAGACCACATTGCATTTCGGAGATTAGCGCGTTCAAACAAACAAAGAAACAAACAAATCTGCCTCTTTATAATATTAGTATAGATTTACCTTTTTAACGATATTCTGGCTGATAAGGAAATGCGCGAGACATAGATCTGAGAACAGCTCGTAGCCGGAGTTATCACACACTATGTCTGGAACAAATCACAATAACATATATTATTATTGTCTCTTGTATTTATAATATTACTAGTGATCTAACCTGGTTTCGCTCGAATACGTTCTTAGTTGCGTACATTTATTTATTTCCAAAACTAATAAACCTCTTGAAGGTAATGAAATTTGCACAAATTAAGAGATCAAAGCTGCTGTCGATTTTTGAAGAGCTTAGATGAAGTTTTTTTAAAGCCGGCATAAAAGTGTTGTGTGATCGATGGAAAAAATGTATTGAATTCCAGGGAGAAAATGTTTAAAAATAAATTATAATAAAAAAAAATAAGTATCCATATCGGTATGATATTTTTTTTATATACTAAATTATAGTTTTTTGGAGCCGGATATTTTTTTACAATTATATAACGATGTAAGCTATTGTACATAAAAATAAAAAAAATCACACACATTATGAGAAACTAACCGAATGTAACACATTGTGGTGTAGTCATTTTAGCAGGACACGGAGGGTGCTCCGGCTGCTCTTCTTGTTCTCCCTCCGCTTTCTCCATCTTCACTTCTTCTGGGCACTGAAATACATATATTACTAATTAGTTAATCCGTACTTAATATTAAAAACGTGAAAGTGTGTTTGTTTGTTTGTTTATCCTTCTTTCACATCCAAACTGACGTTGGAGGGTTGAAGAGTGACACAGGCTACTTTTTATCGCGTGAGATTATCTAATTCCTACGGGAAAATTCAACTTACATTACCTTAACTTTTTAAGAGAGTTTTTATCGATATCACTAGTGCGCGATTCAGTCTAAGCACCGCCCCTGGCCACAGTAAAAAACTGCTATTGACCAAGGCCTGTAGTCAAAACTACTTTTGACCAACCTCTTTAGTCAAAAGTAGTTTTTACTGTAACATATACATATATTATAACTAATTAGTGCCGGCGGCTTTACTTGCTTACGTCTATAAAAAACTAGTTAAAAATAGTTAAAAAATAGAAAAAGAACGAATAAATGGAATCGCACGTGAGAAGAAGCTTTTTTTGTGTAATTTAAAACAAAAATAACAAAAAAAAAAAAACCACTTAAAAACTAAATAAAAGTAAGACATATCCCTTCTATTTATATACATATAACATTTTTTTCCACTACAAAAATTAAAATAAGACCACCTAATTATATAATTAAGTTCTAGGTACACTATATTCTTTATAACTATTTTAATTGACAAAAACTACAAATTGTCATATTATATGTATACTAAATGAATTTATTCAAAAAACCTGTATTTTACAAATCGGCATTCCGGCTAAAGCCGCGAGTCTGTCACAACTGCACTTCGCTTTAACACTTGTATTCTGCAATTTATTATATACTTAATATAAAAATCTATATATATACCTAATATTATAAATGTGAAAGTGTGTGTTTGTTTGTTTGTCCTACTTTCACTTCGAAACAAAGTGAGTCGGAGGGCTGGAGAGTATCATAGGCTACTTTACCGCGGGAGATTATCTCATTCCCACGGGAAAGCACGTTATAATATAACCCACAACAACATCATGCCTATGTATATATATATATATATATATATATATATATATATATATATATATATATAATGTATATAGTCTATCTATTCCATACTAACCGTTAGTATATCAAACAAGTAGCGGTAGGGCCGATCAAAGAACCTTCAAGGGGTATTACCGTTAGTATATAAATAATTATTAATGGCGTACCCCCGCTTCAAGCGAAACGAAGGTGCGTCCGTAAGTTTTAATAGTTTAAAAAAGCATAAAGACAAACGTCAAAAAAACTCATTTCTACATCAAGAACCTTCGCAGGTATATTCATGATAACCCACAAGAGTTTCATCACAATCGGATCAATTGTTTAGTAACTCATAGAGGATAAACATACGAACATTTATTGTTATTTATACATATAGATAGATAGATGATTCGTTATCGATTTCGAAACAGGAGGAGATACGAAATTCTGTAATACTTATAAACATATGAATTGTATGATTCTTTTATTATTCAATAAACTATACCTCAAAGGTCACTAAAATATCCAAGAAAAACACTCTAAAGATGGAAACAATTACTTTTAAAATACTTTTTATTTTTATAAATTACAAATAAGGTCAACAAAAATTATAAAAAATATCTATTTATATAGATTATTTATATTATTTATATAATGACCGATTTGACTATTTTTTTTTTTAAATTAACCCACTTGTTCAATATTATTTTTCACTAAAAATTATATGGACTATTGAATAAAGTTATTGAGGAAAAAACATTGGAAAAATTTCCCGGAAAATTTGGAAATTCGGAAACGTAGAAGTGCAATTTTGTTATAAGATATGATTTGAAAAATCACAAAGAAATTTATTGGAGTTAGGAAAAAATTCTATTTGGTAGTTTTGAAATAATAAATATAAAATAATGAGTATAGCACTCACCCCTTCAATAGCTTTGGCCATACTCTCAGCTTTGGTTATAACTAGATCGCAAATCTTCGCCGTGTCGTCCACTAACACCTTGGAAAATATTAACAAAATTAATAATATTATATGGGTAATGACAAATTACATTTCATTTTCATTCAAATTATTTGAAAAAGAAAGTTATTATCTATACTAATATAGAGAGTGGATCAAATCGATGGGACATGGTAGAAAAGTACCTAAAATATTGAATTTATACAATTCTACTCAAAAGAAAAATTTTATTATTTCCAAAAGTAATGATAACTGCGTTAATTTTTTTTTCAAAAAGTTTACTTCAACAGGTAATTGAACCAATTAAATAAAACCATAAAATCTTACAATTGGGCTGTAAGACCCTTTTGTATTGAAGGGAGGTCCATCCTCAGCAATGGGACGTTAAAAAAAATTACAATACAATAAAAATAATAAAAACACAATATAGACTCAATTACCTTATCTTTAAGATCCAAAACCAATTGGAAAGGGTCTAATAGTTTCCTAGATGTGATACTAGCATCGTCCTTCAAATTCACTTGCTCTCCCATAGATAGTGATAGATCACACTTGTTGGCCCATAGACAAATCTAAATAGAAAAAAAAAAACAAAATAAAATATTAATTATTTAACAAAGGTTAAAAAATATATCTACGTTGTTTGTAAAAAAAAACAAGCAATGAACCCAGCAAGTTTTCGAACTACATGTTCAGTCCGTCCGCACTCGTCCAGCGTGGTGAACTATAGCCTGATCCCCTCATATTAAAGGAAGACCCACGCCCAGCAGTGGGATGTTATGAAGTACGAATATAAAGTCAGCTAGAGACACACACACATATATATATATATATATATATATATATATATATATATATATATATATATATATATATATATATATATATATATATGTATATATATATGTGTGTGTATTATATATATATATATTATACTAGTATTACCCGCGGCTCCGCCCGCGTTCAGATGACCAAAAATCAAATTCTTAGGTTTTACATATTAGTATATGTATACGTATACTCTTACATTGCATTTTTTGTATTGTTTCTCAGAACATTTTCCCGCGGTAAAAAGTATCCTATATGTTGACCTGGATAACCAGCTATCGCCATACTAAATTTCATCAAAATCCCTCCAGTGGTTTTTCTGTGATGCGGTAACAGACAGACAGGCAGAGAGACAAACAGACAGACAAAAATTCTAAAAACTATAGATTCGGCCTATGTATCGATAATAATGTTTATTTCAATAAGCTTTTCCAAAAAATATTTAATGTACGGATTCGGCTTAGTTACAATTTTATTATATGTATGGATTATACCTACCTTTAATAAAGTAGCAAAATCACTTTTCCTCTTATCCTTATCGCTCTCCGGCAACATAGTGACTAGTTTGTCAGCGACCACACACATAGGCTCTAAGCTTTCCATAAACGCCTTTTCTTTTTGTTCATCGAAAGGATCAAAATTTCGGAGATTTTTACTGTAAAATATATAGAAAAGTAATAATTGTTATTAGTTACTTTTTAATAAAAAAAAAGAAAACAGACTTCAGAAATCATTTAAAAAGTATTTATTACATTATATATAAAGAGGTGAGATTTTTAAGCCATATTTAAAATATTTTATATTTTTAATGTACATACAATAAAATAATAATATATTATATACCTACCTTTTTGCTAAGAAGTAATTTAGCTGGTATTCATTTAAAAAAAAATCAAAAGTACAAACCACACTTGTATCTATTGTAAAAAAATTCTTTCTTAGTTTGGTGGTAGAATTTGTAGCTATTAAAAAAAAAAATTTTTGCAAATGAAAAAAAATTTTTTACTCAACATTTTGAGATGGCCCACTAATTTTTAAAATAAATAATTAATTTAATTATATATACACATATAAATAATCTAATTTAAAAACTGACTAACTCAAACTCAACTAAAAACTTACGTCAATTCACATCCTTCCCTCAACCGCCTGTACACATAACACTCAGAAAACACCCACACATTAGTAAAATAGTATTGACAATCTGAATTTTGAATAAATTCGTTCCATTTTTTAGCCTCTGGCGTATCTACTGTTAACAATTCATACTTTTTGTTTGTTACTAAATCGTTTTTCAATTTTGTTATGTATTGAATGAGACTGCGTATATCTTCATCGGACTGTAAAAGAAAATTGTTTATCTATAATAATATTATAAAAAGGCAGAGTTTGTTTGTTTGAACGCGCTTATCTCAGAAACTAGTAATCCGATTCCCGTGAATCCCGTGGGATAGATTAGTTTTGTCTAGAGACGAACCCGAAGCGAAGCGAGGGTGAGTCGCTAGTAATACATAAACATGATTGGGACGTAGACCTTAAATTTTAATTTAGGTTTATTTTCTGTTATATGGACGATAGATGGCGTTGATCCGCAAACTGACAACTGTCTTATTTTAATATATTACTACTAAAAAATGTAAAATATAGCGAAATCATTTTTTAATAATCAGTAAAATTATAGATATAAGATTTAAGAAATTAATCTTTTATTTTCTTTTACATAGTTTTTTAAAACTATAAAATTAAAAAAATATATTAATTTATTATGTAAATCAACAACAAATCGTCGTATATTACAATATTTATTCACAATTAAATTAGGTTTCTTTATTCATATTCAGTATCTACACCAGATGAAATAATACTATACTAGTACAGATGTCCCATCCCATACAAATATATCGGACAGCTCTATTTGGGGCTATTCTTCGGGCTATTTTTGTTTGCTTGAATAGATAAGAGACGTTGTTCATCCAAAACCTTTGAACTGTTTTATTTTTTAAATATGTGTAAAGATACTACAATAAAATAAATATTATAGCAAAATTCACCCTGCATTATTTTAATTAAATATTAAAGAAATTTGGGTCGTTTTTTACTTTTATTAATTTTATTTAAACATGGATACATATAACGCCATCTATTGACTTAAAACTAAAAAACTTTTTCTTTGTTCTTGAAAACTATGGAGGGTAGAGGTAAGGAGAACTATCTCTGTAGTGAAAAAGTATCCGTCGAAATGCATTTTAATGACTGCCCAAGTCATCCGATATATTAAATTTATCAATTCAACACATTTCACTCCGTTTACAACTACTAAATTCATATCATACCCTCTTACTACGCTAGCGCCATTCTAGTGGGTTTTTGTACAATTATTTACCGCTCACACGTGGACACTTTTTCAAATTGTCTCCCATATTAGATATTATAGATAGTTCTCCATATCTCTACCCTCCATGTTGTAAACCTCAAAATATTAATATCGATACTTACAGCGCCATGAGCGGATTTTATTTTCCCGCTCTCCCGCGACAGATAATCTATAACTTTTGTCAATATAATCGGCAAACGTTCTTTTAGCGAGTAGTATGCGAAACTCCTGAAAGCAATAATTATCAGTAATTATAATAATATTATCGGATTTTGTATATATTTGGGATTCCTTCACGTTGTAACGGCTTTGGATAAAAAGTACACAGATATACTATAACCTGGAGCAACACATAGTTTACTGTTAGAGACCTAGGGACGCGCTCCAGCGAAGCTAGTGTAAGTTGCTAGTATTGTTATATGTTTTGATTATACAAAAAACTTGCAAAGTTTGATAAAAAGTTTCATTAGAATTGACAGTCGTTTTAGAATCGGTTAAAAAAAATATAGATTGAGCTACCAGTCCTATGCAGCCTCATTCGAAACGGGTGTCACGTTCACTGGTTCGGCACTAAATAAAAATTACGCGCAATATTTCAAAATTTAATCCAAAAACAAGATAGTAAAATACTATCTATCTAAAAACTAATAAACTAATCTATGTAAAAACATAAAATATTAATAAATAAATTATCAACATAAAAAAAAAAGAAAAAAGTACCGCCCGAACAGGGACTTGAACCCTGGACCCTTGGATTAAAAGTCCAATGCTCTACCGACTGAGCTATCCGGGCTCATGTCTACTGGTCGAAATTATGAATCAGACTATAAGTATCAAAAATAATAAAATATTTAAACAAATTTTATTAATAAAATAGTGATTAACATATTTTTTCTATTATTTATAACAACTATAATTATCTTATGTATTTTTCATCATTCAAAATGTACTTCCTATACAAAGTAAATAAAATTATTTTTTTTAAATTATTTGACTTAAAATAGGTTTTTTATAATTGGTAATATTATTTGTTTATGTTTAACTTTGCCTTTAAAATAATTGAAATAATAAAAAAAAAATGAAAAATATCAATTTTAAATTAAATATTATAATGAAGACTAGGAAACTAAAAATATTTTTATAAAATGGTAACCATAAATCCATAAAGTACATACAAATCAGAAATATAGTCAATATTTGAATACTAATAGCTGTTAAATGTACAACAAAAACACATAACCCTCCCTTGGGCTTTACTGCAGTCGGATAAAAAGATACTTATGCAATATCATTTTGGAGTCTAACTATGCACATATTGTTTTCTACACTATTGCATTACTGTTCTATTAGAGATAATATCTTAGATTGTTTTAGATAATATATGATATACAGCTGAAATGTTTACTAAAAATGATAAGGATTTAGGTAAATTCTAAATTGCATTGTAATTTATTTACAATTATAAGTCACATAACTTATGTTTTAAAATTTATCCTTTTTTATGGTAGAACTTATTTCTTCAGATAGAGACAATTAATATTCTGATTCTACTTGCACTGCTTTTTTTGCACTTAAGCATAGTTGCCTCTTGTGCATTAGTTTGTGCTATTTGTATAAATGTGTTTTATAATTATTATTTATTATGTACCATGAAATATATTATGTTATACAAAATAAAGTAACGGTAATGTCGACAAAGATAACTTATCTCTTTGAGAGATTTCTTCCAGAAACTCTTCAGAAGCGAGAAAATAAGTTATTCACATTTTACAAATATTTATAATATTCTGATGAAGCAAACATTTTCTCCATAGAAGAGGTTCTACAGGTTATTTTTTAATGAAGTGACTTAGATGGTAAAATTATAGGTTACAAAATTCTTATTAGGAAGTTAGTTTAACGTCCAAAAGATTTTATTATTCATTTACAATATGTTATTAATACCAAAGTCCTAAAACATTATCTAATATAAAGTGTAAATCCATCTAATAACACCCATTACAATTGTAATACTAATACTTTCTTTATCTAAAACACATTAAGTATATACTATTAGCACATAATAGTAAAAGATTAAAAAATTAAATAACATAAATAACAAAATATATAAATTTATATTTTTTTTAAAGGAACAATTTTGAAATCATTCTTACTTACTTTTTGAAGGTGCCCTGTAATTGAACATTTATAGGAGTCGCGGTATTTAGAAACGGACTTGTAGTTTGTACGTCTATAAAGGGACCACCGTAAATAAAATCTGGAGAAGTCGCATCTTGAACGACGGTTTTTGTTTGGCTAGCTACAGGGGACGATGGCGATGCAGGTCTTGTTGAAGTTGTACTCATAATTTATTATTTTTCACTATCACTAATAATTTGCAAACATTGATCAGTTGTTTTCCATTTAAAAGAAAAACAACACTGATGAAGATTGAAGTTCAAAGATTTTTTAAATTGACATTTTATGGCTAGGAAAATGACATTTGTGTGCATTTACGAGGTTAAATTAAAATGCCAATCTTGCTTTGGAACCATTAACAAGAAAATTAAATTGAACATGCTAATCTAGCAATAAATTATTATATTTTACCAAAACCAATTAATAATTATTTATTTCTTCCATTATTTCAGTAATATTAAAAAAAGGTGTATATTTTTATAAAATTTAATAAATGGCTACAAGTGCGACATCTATTAAAAAATATGGCTAATAAAAGTGTCCTACTTGGAAGACCGTATGAAGATTTTAAATGAGTGAAATCTAAAAATACATAAAACTAAAATAATAATTACTGAAATACAATATTATACATACATTCCATATATCCCACGCATAACCACGTTACGTGGTGAAACAATTCGCATAACTGGGTAGTTTTGCGTATCTATATGCCAATCGTAAGCTGCCATTTTTGTATAGTTTTTCACAAGAAATATTGTAATTGAATTTTAAACACAGCAAAATAAGACGTGCAGATTATGAAACACAGTATAAACTGAAACAGTTTTGACCGTGGTGTAACTAAAAATAGAGAAGCTATATGTAGTAGCTTCACCGTGTAATATAGAATTTTTACGATTTAACTGCCTAAAATCCTCATCCACCATAAAATAATTAAATTATATAGATTATTCATTATATCTTTTTATCAAAAACTATGTACAGTGTTTGGTTTTATCTACGTACGTACATATACGTATGTATTTCCCATCGCCACTTAACATGACCCCCGCTTTATATGATGTCGCGGAGACTACAGAGGTCAAGCTTCATGTTAAGTTTCAATTCAATTTTCTAGTTAAAAAAATCCTAAAAAGGTAGTTTCATATAAACTGTCATCTTCGATTTTACCCCCTTATAAGATGAATTTCAAAAAATGTTAAAACACGTATTTATTTAATTTTATTGAAAGAGCATTAACACCAAGTTTCAATAAATATATTCTGATCATAAATAATTTTTTGGATTGTGTTATAACGTGTTTTCCCGTGAAAATAGATAATATCCCGCGATAAAAAGTAGTATATGTCACTCTCTAGCCCTCGCAACTATCTCCACACAAAAAATCACGCCAGTCCGTCACTCTGTTTCGACGTGAAAGAAGGACAAACACACTTTGAATAATTATAGTCGGCCGCGTGGGCAGACTTAGTTTCTAGAACACCACATAGTAACAAACATACGTACATAGACTGATAAACACATTACCCTTTTTTGCGTCGTGCAATCGGGTAAAAAGACATACCGAGGAGACAAGCAATTGAAATTGTTATTTGCTTGACTTCATACTAGTATGGTAGGTATAGTCCAGTCAAAGGTCTGAAATGAAAATTTTGGCACTCAACTTTGCATTTTTGTTATATATTATAATGTAGTTCCATGAACGAATTGTAGCTAATTCTTTAATGTGTAGTTCTAATCATACAAAAACCATGTGTAAACATTTTAAGTAGTCAACCTGTAAAAACATTTTTTTAACCGTATCACTTTTTAGGGGTATAGAATTAAAATAAAAAACATGATTTGTTATATAAAAATATATTAATATCAAAATCTTAAAACAATTACAAATTGTTTATAAAATCTAAAATTTGAGTACACATGTACTATTAAAAATTAAAATAGACGAAATACCTTGAGGTACAATAAATGAGATTAAAATAACAACTCAAAATGTAATTCTTTTTCAATCAACCTTACCTTTTACCTTATATTTACTTACATCACTAATTCATACTAAAATTTCATAATTTTGCAATAATTTCTAAAGAGAGTGTAATAAAAGTCGAATTTCTATTTTTAATTCAATTAGTGCTATTTTTTTAGAATTTTTAGCTAACAATTATTTTGTTTTTTGTTAGAAATCTAAAACAATTTTGTTTTTTATTCTCTCTTATAAATCACTTTTTTTCATATTTTTAACAGTTATACTGTTATAAAAAAGGTTACACAAATCCTTATCATTGTACCTAAAAACTTTTATTATAAAATAAATCATTAAAAATTAAAAAAGTCAATCTTCTGACATCATAAACAATTCAGTCTCATTTAACTTATTATAGAAGCACTTGCACATTTCTTTAAATCGAGAGTTCCCAACCAGGGGGGCGTAGTTTATTTTGTATAATTTAAAATTAAAATAAATAAAAACTGCTAAAATAACCTGTTTTATCATAATAAAAAAAATAGGACATGAAAATATTTTTTATAATCCGGAAAAGTTCAACAGACAAAAAGTTGGGAAACCCTGCTTTAAATGTAATTTAGAGAAAAGTACTAAATAATGTTGAAATTAAGAATTTCGTGCAAGTTACCCAATATCTTAAAATTGTAAAACATTACTGTTATATGAGATCATATTAATAACTAACAAGTCATTTACATCATCAAACATCTTTAAGAACGTGCAAATAAATTATATTTTTTTTTACTTAACTTATAATTATATAACAAAGCCTTTCAAAAATAAGTCTTTCAATAATGAATACTGAGATATTACACAAATACAGTTTATTAAAAAATTATGTAAGGTCATCTAATTTTTTTTTATTGACCGTAGCTACAAATTAGTTAATTATTATTAAAGTAGTCTCGATAATGTAGGTTCTGATATATTTTTGGTCGTTTTGAAATAAAAATAAATGTAAACCTAATTATAAAATAGAAAATAAAAAAAAACGTCATGATAAGTTTTCGTCAGAACATTGATAACAAATTTCTCTATTTGTCAAATTAAAAAAAAAAACCTTGTGTAGAAAACCAAGTTTAAATATTAATTAAAATTATATTTAAAAAGAAACTTACATAATAGGAGATAGTCAAAATGTATACTATTATTTGACATTCAGATTTTTCATGCTTCTTAAAATTATTTTGGTCAAATTATAATATTGTCATTATTACTTATATTCATGATTATAAACGTTATTCAAAAAATTCAAAAGCAAAAAATATTTTGATAATCATACTTTTAGTCATATTTTAAAATTATATATTTTTTTTGTCATATCATATTATGTTTTCAAAATAAAATAATAAAAAAGTAAAACATTTCAAGACGAGACATTAAAAGTTGCCTAAATCTATAAGGCTTATTTTTATTATTATTTCTTAATTCAAATACTATATCAAAAAATATCAGGCACTTATATTTTCTTGCCTAGATTAATTTAAATTTCAAATTATTCACCATAAAACATGCATTTTGCCAAATCATAAATATATATAAAATATTGAATATTTAAAAAAAGAATTTGAAGTATATTTTTGTAATCATATACTATATAAATTATAATTTAGATCTTAGTACCTTCTCCGACCATTGCTTTTGATGCGAGTATTCTTAAGTGTTATTGTTGTGGACTGTAGTGGCTTACCATTGTTTGTGCTTCTTAGTATTGGACAGTAGGTTCTGTAAAAAATTATTAAAATTGACATCTCTCTTTCTAAAGTTGGTTAAATATAAACATTTATTTTTAAGTAGCAGTAGTATCTCTCTTATGACCATGATTGCTGTAAAGCATTCAAAACATCGGAAACCAGAAATCTAAATAAATCTATGAAATAGTCCAAAAAGATAGTTTTATTTAAAATATACCCATACTTTATACTGATTATAGAATTTTCATGTAAATATTAATATTTTTGGATATTATTAATATATATTTAATATGAATTCAATAAATTATGTGTAATGTCATAAGAACAAGTACTTACAAGGTATGTGCATCATCACCAGAGGCCCCACAGGTTTTGCATTTGTGTGATCGTAATATAGGACAAGTTACGATGTGTCTGTTTCCAATTTTCTCTTTTACACAATGTGTCATAAAAACCATTGGAGTTTCGCCATTTTTGCGACAAAATGTACACATTTTAGAACCATAATCTTCTCTAGATGAAGATGCTGTAGATACAGGAATGAATGGCTTGAATTTTGGATTTTCCGAACTGTAACTTGGTCTGCGATTGTATATATTAGTGTTTTGTGGTGATACACTAGTTTGAAGGCTATAAGAATTGGTTTTAACTGGAGTACGAAATTCATATCCTTTATTTTCTGATGGAAACAATTCATAGTTTTTTTGGTTTTCTTGTGCTCGCCAAACATTTTCCATTGCATCTTTAATGGGCTCTGTTTTAGCTTGAGATCCAAGTATCTTGCGGCCCACTATAGGTCTTTGGTGTCGTGTCTGAATGTTTAGATTAGGAATTGGAGATTCAAAAAAAGGAACAAAATCAGGTGCTTGGACATCCAATTGAAAATTATCAAAAGTTTTGTCAAAAACATTTGTATCATACTGAGATACATTCGGTGATTCAAAGGACCTTGTATCTAATATATTTCTAGGTGTTTCAGGCCTTATGTCTGTATGTCTGAAGAAATCAAAGTAAGACTCGGGGGAAAAGGAATCTGTAGAACTAGATGATCTATTGCCTGTAGCTTGGAAAGGTGATGTGTAAAATGGCGAATCTCCATCTGAAAACCATAAATGACTCTTTAATATTTATTTGATATTTTATACTTTGAACAATTGTCATAAAAGAAACTGCATTAAAAAATACTAAGTATAAATCTTTTAACATTATGTACTTGAATTTATATGTGAATATAAACAAAAGAACACTAATAGAATGCACTGGATACTTATTTAGACTGTATTTCGTGACGCATCGATATTTTATAAAATATCTTGTAATTATTAGATATCAAACGAGTATCCATACTAAATATCTAAAATACGTAATTCTTAAATAAACTAAACATGGCCTTGGTTAATATGAATTTATTTGAAAATATTTATCGATACACTTAATAGCAACGCCATTTTATTCTGCGATTATTTTATTTCTTATTCAAATTTCAAATGTATGAGTACCATTGTTTTATTTTAGCCACTTACCATTGCTCCTAGTTCTTGGGAAAAGTTTATTTACGTCTCCCATAAAGTCCACCATGTCTTTAGATGGAAACATGTTATTCTGAAACATTATAATAAAATCATTTTGTATATAATATTATTTTTAATTTTTTACGTTGTATATAAACAAGTAGTTAATAATGGCCATCTTAATTTGTTTTACTTTGAAAAAGACGTGTTTATTGCTGGTCATTTTAAAACTTTTTAAAACAAAATAAATCAAATTTATAAATTAGTAATTTAAATAGCTATAGTAAATATTTTTTTTAATTTATTGTGTTTGTTGCTTTCCTATTGATTTCTTAAAATGTAATTCAAATTAAATGGTAAGAAAGCAAAGTGCTATTTAAAATTTAGCAATCTAAAGTAGAAGGAATCTTACTATTATATTAGAAAAGGTAATAATATTCGATTGATTTGTGAAAATTTAAATTTGTTTTTGTTAATAGAGAATCAAGGAAAATACAATTTTTTAAAATTATTTTCTTTGCTTCTCAGCAAGTGAGTGCTCAGGTTTTTGAATTATTTATATAAATAACATATTTTTATATTAAATAAAATTATAATTGTATGTATAATAATAAATGAAATATTATCCTCCCTTGAAACAGTTTATTGATAATAAATTACATATTATTAAAAATTTCGTGACTAATTATTACTTTTAAATTTTAACTACATAACTTTAAAAGAACTAAAACTTAATAAAGAAATTATTACTTACATAATATAAAATATTAATTTGAATTTTGAAAACAAATTTCAATCGAATCTAGGGAGCACCTTCTTCTTAGACAATTTCTTAACGAATGTTTATTTTTGTCCTTCGGGCGGCTTTCTTTGTGCGTAGTCAAAGGAGCCGACACACCCCACTAGTGTTTTGATTATTCATACTCTTTGTAATAAGTTCGATTTAATTCATAACAGTCTATATTGTTTTTTAATTAAATTAACATAATTCGTAAATTTATTAAACAAATTGTTAATTATGATGTGTTATAAATAAAGTGTATTTTTACTCATAATATAATAATAACAATTTTTTATAAAATATTTATTATAGAGTATTAGAGGCAGTTATTATGGAATTATATTTGAGACATTGTAATATTTTTTTATATATTTGTATTATGTATGTACACTGACATTATTTTAAATATATAATAATCTATTCTAATACATTCATATAAACTAAGTGGATAAATTAAAATAATATTATTTAGGTACGTTTTCATTTTTTTAACACAACCCTAATTCTTTTTCTAAAATAAAAGTAGTCTATGTTACTCCCTATAACATCAGCTATCTTCCAGTGAAAGTCCCGCCAAAATCAGTCCAGCCGTTACAGAGATTATCCGGAACAAACAGACAGACAGACTGACAAATAAAAATTAAAAAAAATGTGTTTTTCTTATATGTACCGTATATAATTTCATATGCATTTAGTAAAACGCTGTTATTTTGACGTTACGAACAGACACTTCAATTTTATTTATCTGTATAGATAAATTACTGAAGCTACATTTTACAAAGGCTCGCCGCCTTTGTTTACAGACACCGCCGAACACGTGTATAGTAGTCAATCTACTCGATGTAAGATGGCGTTAGTAAAATGTAGTGGCGCTAGTAATATGCGGTGGACAGACAAAAATTCTAAAAACTATAGATTCGGCCTCTGTATCAATATTAATGTTTATTTCAATAAGATTTTCCAAAAAAATTGCTTAGTTACAATTTTATTATATGTATAGAAATGCTTATATGTACTATAAAACCTTATTCATTTATACAGTATCAATCCTTTTATTTATATTTAAAGTATAACAATTCTTGTTTAATAAGAAACTTGTGATAAATATTATAAATTAACTTTTTTTTGGGAATTTAATAAAACTCGTAATAATACGAAATTAGTTCAAATAAATTTATATAGATGGCGCTAGTTATCGATTTATTATTGATAGTTGTTTAAAAAGATATAAAAGATACAAAGTATGATGTAAAATATAAATAATATTAAAGAATGACACAAATATATAATAAAAAAATGGTTTTTAATCAAGTTCCTTGTTTTGTTTTTAAATTAAGTAAATGAGGTTCTAATGCGTATTCTTGCTCGAAATGGTCATGACTCTTGAATCATGTTCGTCTCAATTTGTTTTATTTTACGTTTTGGTATATTTATCACAACGTAGTAACTTATAGTGAATACATTTTAAATAATATTTCTAACGTTTTGAATGTATGTCTTAAGTTTTTGTATAATGTTTATTCATATAACGCCATCTATGAGCTATGATGATAATTTTAAAAAAACGATAATTACTTAATAATATAATATGTAATGATGGATTTTTTATGTGAATGTTTTTGAGTTGTTTTTATCTTCTTTTGTCTATTTTACTTTATAATCAATTACTTATCTCTATATCATATTATATTTATTTATTATTTATTACTATCATTATAGCGCCATCTATTAACATTTATTTAAACTAATATTTCTTCCTGAACAGCTTCAAGGGACGATTACGATACGATTCAAACATAAAAATAAACTAATTTAAGAATAAAATGTACAACAGACTATAGAACAAAGGCCAAAGTACGTAATAATATTTGAAAAAAAAGGCCAAGCCAAGGAAAAATTATAAACTATAAAATAGGACAATTCAAGTGGCAGGTGATCTTAGAGAAAAAATGTTATACCTAAACAATTTAGCTTAGAACATCTTTAAGAATCCAGGTCGTCTATCTCATATCTGACCACAATTGCGTCAAAGTACGAGTATATTACCTAATTGGAAAGGCATCTTCACATATAAATCAGTCCGATTTCCATCTGTATATGGGAATATCTTGCGGTAATGCTACGTCTTCCGTGAAAACGCTTTATGTGCGAAAACTGTGGTATGTTTCTATTATTACGTTTGGAGTAGATGTTAGATTACCTATTTTATTTTAATTTTCAAAGTATCACAATATAAGAAAGTGTGCTTCATTTGTTTGTAACAGACAATCTCTGAAGTTACTTATTCATGAGAATTTCTTTAATTCTAAAAATTCTCAAAATTTATAAAACTTTGATCCAATTTGAATTCCCATTTCTAATTTACATTATAATATTTTTCTTCTCAGTACTTTATCCTGAATCGTTTTCGTAAATTTCACGTGACAAGTGTTAATATAAATTCATTCAAAATATGCGAAGTGTGTTCGTTTGTTTGTCCTTCTTTCACGTCGAAACAGAGTGACGGATTAGCGTGATTTTTTGTGTGGAGATAATTGGAAGGCCGGAGAGTGACATAGGCTCCTTTCTACCGCAGAAATTATCTCATTCCCAAATGAAACACGTTTTCTATATAATGTTGGGAAATGTATTTACGCATACCACCTGTAGACATACAGGTGCTTATGTGGGACTCACCGGCTAGAAAAGCCAGTACACTAAAACCATGATGGGCATGGGGACCCTGCCCGCCGTCATAACGGACAAGGTACTCTGAGACTCCTACTCACTAAAACCCACAGCGGAACCCTTCGTCGCAGTGCGATAGGGCGTTGCTGGATCACTTGCGCACACACTACAACACCCCTGAAGGTCTGCCGAAGCATACCACAACAACCATGGGGTCCACAGTCCACTCTGTTATCAGAGAAATATTAGAAGCAACCTGCATGACATCGCCCACCAAAGTGGGCCGCCTCCCAGTAAGTTTCTTGGCTTCGCGGGCGGCTGGATTGCCGGACGCTAATGAGGCCCAACGAGGTGAACGCACGTTGGGGGGGAAATGGGAAACAGGTTACAATACCAACCCACAACATCATACATATAAATTATTTTAATAATAATTTAGTAAATAGAGACTAGAATTATTTATTTAATTTTTCCATTTCAATAAAGGCAGATACTGCAAGTGCCTATGGTATAAATAAAATTTCAAATATTTTAGGGGCGACCCATCTGTTTAGCCGTCATTTGCAAATTGCCATTACTAAATTAGCCTGTAAGTACATAATCTCATGGTGAAGTATGGTATTAGTTGCGAATGTAGAGCAAGGTCGATATAAGCGGATTGTCCGTCCGTATGACTCTATATCAATTATAGTTATAAGATGTAGCGTTTTTATAATATTATATATTCTTAGGTTTACTATATATTCTTAGGTTTTACATATTAGTATACTCTTACATTACAGCTTTTGTATTTTTTCTTAGAAATGAGATATTTTCCCGCGGTAAAAAGTATCCTATATGTTGACCCAGATAACCAGCTATCACCATATTAAATTTCATCAAAATCCCTCGGTTTTTCCGTGATGCGATAATAGACAGACAAAAATTCTAAAAACTATAGATTCGACCTCTGTATCGATAATAATGTTTATTTCAATAAGATTTTCCAAAAAATATCTAATGTACAGATTCGGCTTAGTTACAATTTTATTATATGTACCTATAGATATTTAAAATGCGTAAGCTTGCTAAAAGTTAAAACGTAAGTAGAGACGAACCCGAGCGGAGCGAGGGTGAGTTATTTATATGAGTGGGACATTCAATATTTATATTTATTACTTTTATAAGTACCTACTGAATATAAATATTGAATGTCAGTATGTCAGTTAATAAGGATGAGCAAGGAAGAGAAATAAAATTAGCTTATATAATGCATTACCTATCATATACAGTCTTTATGGTGAACAGCGGGCATAAACTAGATTGATATAATTTTCTATCATTCTTCCCATAGAGCGTCTAGGTAAAACCATTTAAACAAATAGTGAGTAAACTTTCTTAGCTTTTAGAGTACAATATGTTTATTGTTTAACGTGTAATGTGATTTAAAAAAAATAGTAAGTACAGAATAACTTTTAATAAATGGTCAAAATAATAAGATTCAGCTGTCTTATCGAGTTGAAAAATACTGTAGTATCTTAAAATTCTTCCTCGTCTTCTAATTAAAAATTAAAAAAAACCCTCTAGACGATTACACTGGCACGCGTGAAGCACTTAATCGAGTAATCATACACCAAAATGCCTTACATCATTTTAGA